AAAATACGTATGTTGCTTCGATAGCTTTCAAACTCTCGCGCTCTGGTAGCGACGTAAAATTACTCGAGTCTCAACAATTTCCACGATTTCACTAAACCGAACAAAAATTAAACGATCGATGAATCAATGCGGCTAATAATTAACTACGAAAGAGCTTTCTAAAAAGCTACAAAATGACACATAACGCTTGCGTATAAATTACACGAAACGAAACAACGTAAAAAATGCATGAACTTTTAGTTCAACCTAACATTAGGACAATTCTCTCCCGTAACGCTCCTGCAAGTTAACGTTAGAAACTACCCCGCGAGTCCTCCGTGAACGCATCATCCCGTGCTCCAGATCACCGTAACAAACCATCCGTGACTAAGAACAAAAGAGTTCGTGCGTCAGCAATTCGTTAACGTTTAATCCTTCCGCATATTCAGGTTTTGCGTGGCGCAACGTGAAAACAGCAGCTCCAAGATCGCCGTGGCGTGCTTCGAGAGCGAATTCCACCTTGCCGCGGTGGGATGGAAGAGAATACTCTACTGCATCCTCTCGATTATATCGGCTATATTTTTAATCGCCACCCTGGCGGTGTACGTGCTGCTACCGGAATTAAGAGAAATCCAGGACAAAGCGATGATGGCCGTGGTGACGTCGTTAGCGGTCAGCTACATCGTCCTTTCGATACAGAATCTGAAGCCCCAGGAAGATGGTGACTACGAGATATGTATCGCTTTAGGTACGAAACTTGGTTGAATCTATCATTTTGTTCGTGCGTTGTACAGACCGATTTATCAACCAAGTATTCTTCGTCGTTTCTTACAGGATTCCTTCTGTACTTCGGTTTCCTATCGGTGTTCTTCTGGCTGAACATCGTGTCCTTCAACATATGGCGGGCGGTCTGGTAAGCGAAGATGTTCGGAAAGAAACGAGCCAAAAATTCCACTTTTCTTTGCAGCTTCGTCCGTTGTATGGTCTTCTTTTTTCTTTTCTTTTTTTTTTTATAGGTTTAAGAATTTCAAAATCAAGGAGAGATCACTGTTTATTGTCTATTGTTTAGTTGGATGGGGTGGACCGATATGCTTCTTGTTAGCGACTCTAGCCGCTCATCACATGCTCGGGGAGCACCTGAAGCCTGGTTTCGGGGTGCAAAGTTGCTGGTTCAGCGGTAAAATTAACACGCGACGACCGATATAAATACGAACCTAACCGTTTGCCGCCACGTGTCGAGGCAGACTCGACGGCGAAGGGTCTTCGTTAGTTTCATCAGCTTAGAGGACTAATTCGCTTTTGTAGGCTCCGCGCAATTGTGGGTGTACTTTTATGGACCGATCGCTATATTACTGGCGCTGAATATCGTCTATCTGGGATTGACCAGTTGGCGCCTGTGGCATCAGTATCGCGAGTACAATGGGAGTAGATTGCGTGCGTTGCGATTCAAATGCCTCCTGTACGTAAAGTTGATATTCGTCATGGGTATCACTTGGATATTCGAAGTGATATCGCACGTTGCGGGCTCCGAAAACGAAGTATGGTACGAGATTCGACGAAACTTAATTTTTACTCGTATCGCGAGATTAACGAAACAAAATGCTTATTTCATTCTTAATTTCTCTTCAGGATTCCAACGGACATTCTCAACTCGTTGCAAGGTTTCATAATATTCCTCCTGCTGGTTGTCACGCGAAAACGCGTGAGGAAGCTGCTGGCGAAGAAGGAACCCTGCGGGATCGCCTTTCCAAAATCTTGGACGGCCTACGAGGACGAGGAGTGCGAAGAGGAGGTGCTTCCAGAGGAGATAGAGCTGTCGCAACAAGGCTAGGCCTTTGTTGCTTCCAACTAAACGAGCAGACGCTTCCGAAGTTCTTTCAAATTTCTAACATCGACACGTTTGATCGAAAGGCGTTCGCGATCAACAACGAATGCAACGAACTACTCTCGTTTAATTGCGGTAGTCGTAAAAGTAGCGCAACATCGCCGTTAGAATTAACCGAATACTCTTACCGTTTGCCTAGTCTTTACAAGCATAAGTCGAAAGCATCGAGCCTCCTCGCGCTATGAGAGCAAGTTCGTTCATAGTCTCGACCCTATTACTTAATATTAACGTCTCAGAATCTCCATGAACTAGCGATAACGAACCGAGTACCATCGCCGCTTGTACGTCGATCCGCGGAATTAGCTAGAATTTATTACGTAGCGTGAGTCGGCGACGATTCATCGCGTTAATTCCACGTTAATCGTCCCCCCCCCCCCTCTCTCTCTCTCTCTCGACAAAGTTACGACGATTCGCCTTAAATCACGACACCGCTGTGACGTGTTTCAGCCATAAACACGAAGAGTGGGTGCAGTCGACGAACGACGTAGAGCGTCATTGAAAGTCCCGCGCGTGTAATTTTTCCTTAAAAGGGACCATTAATCGAAAGAGAGGGGAATACAAACTGTGTCAAGCCTTTGCGCCCTAAGGAGTTGGTAATAAACTTCGAGGAGTTCGTTTGTAAAATTGTTCAGAATTTCTTAAATTATACGGCTTCTTTCAAACTTTCAAATACATAGAAATATCGTATTTATTGAATTATTTATAGCGGGACGCCTCCAAGTACCTGGACCGTACAGCTTGGAAGCGCGAAGGATTAAATGTTAATTAGAATGTGAACTTGTTGTCGAAAAGGAGTTATGTAAATACCGAGTTTATGTGGATGAAAGAAAAAAAAAAAGAAATCTAGGTAGGACTCGCGAATTATTACCAGTTAGATTATATTCCAATTGTATAGATACAAAATTGTAGCCAAGTAGGAATTTTGACGATTATTGGTCCGGCAGTGAACGTGTTGATATGCGATCGTTTTTAGACAGCAAAGTGTAGCGTTTAGTCGCCACCCTGTTCTTAATGGGTTAAATAACGTCGAGTTGAAGCGCGCAAAAAAAAAAAAAAAACGTTGATGCGAATTACCGTGCCGGAACTGCGTTTCGCGTTTGCGTAGGAACGGTTGCGGTAATTAAACGAACCAGCGTGCGCGAGTAATCGAGCACTCGGTTCAACGAAGACGCTAAGAGACGAGAACGGTCGGATGGAACAGTGTATCGCGCTAAGTGACTACCGTGCCCACGTTTCCATGAGTAATGCTCGCCACGAGCGTGCACAGTCACGTAACGATGAGTAGATCCCATTGTCAACCGGCACACAAACGCGACGCGGGCCTTTGTGCACGCTGAAAGCGTAGAGCAACTATACTGATCGATATTTCAGCGACGCGGGCATGTCGCGAGCAAGAAACGCGAAACTTTTATCCGCGCGACTCGTGTATAGTCGAAACGAGTGGGAAACGAGTGGGAAACGAGTGATCAACGATTATGTAAATGATTACTTGAACTGTTTACTAACCGTTTGAATGTTTGTTTATAAGGTATTTAAATTCTAGCGAAGAACTTGTATAAATAAACGTGTACATAACGCATCTTAGGATAGAAGTAAATAAACGTGTTTGCACGAAAAGATAAGACTCGAGTATTAAGTGGGATGTATTGAAATTAAAAGCGTCATTACGCAAGGCGTCTACGAGAGACAATCTATTTACGCTACCGAATAGTTGAGCAAGTGTCGCATTCCAGGCTTCGTGCGAACCCTTTCGAGTAAGATGACCGGCGATATGAAACTTCCAAGAAAGGCAAAAAGTCACTGTCATTTTTAGCGGCGTCATTCTTGTTGGAAGCAACCGATATCCTGTTTGTAAAACACCGAGGCAAAGGAATCAGAAATTCAAGAATTCAAAGTTCTTTCGCTGTGGAACATTGTTCAATAAAAAAAAAAAAAGAAAGTATATACACACGAAGAACCTTTACTTCCTGTTCTATAAATTCCTGTTTAAGTTCAATTTTTGTAGTTAGCAATGATTTTATTTTGTATAAAGATCCGCAGCTTACTTTTAAATGATCGTAATCAAAGAATGGAAAAGAAAAAAAAAGAAAGGGAAAAAAAGGGAAAAAAAAAGAAAGAGAAGAAGTCGGAATCAAGGTGTCAAGGACGAACCGATTACGGCGATATACATATCTATATGTGTGACGTTGAAGGAATCGTACAAGTGTATGCAAACAGCGAGTCGGTTGTGAATCAATCATACGAGTCCACGTACATCAGCAGTTGACAAACGTGTGTGATAACGCTACCCTGTAAATATTCAGGAGATACGATGTACAGGATAATGTTTAAAAACAAACAAAGAGCGATCTACAGGCGAGGAATAGTTCAACGCAGAGAATTTGATCCAACGAGTATCGTGTCGTCGCGTTGAGCTAAAGCTACTCGAGACAGCGATACAAAATACAACAAAGATCTGTAAACGTGAAACTCGAGTAATCTATTGAAAAATGTTTATACGAGGAATATTTGAACGCAGAAAATTTGGTCAAGCAACCGCCTTGATACGCGTGTATCGTCGTTGAATAAGCTAAAGAGTTACTCGAGAGAGCAATCAGAGGAAGGCAACAAAGATTTGCGCAGAGTAAACGAGAAAGGTGAGGATGGGTAGAGAAGAGAGGGGAAAGCCGGTAGGGGAAACGATGAGACAGGCCACCCGGGGGGAGGGGAGGTAGAGCGAGTACGGAAGCGAGCGAGAGGTAAAACCGACAGAGACAAGGTACACCCAACGCGGACCTAACCCAGAGGGGATAGAGAGAGCAAGCGAGCTATCGAGAGAACGTGCGAGTGAAAAAGAGATGGAAAGAGAGACAAAAAGACAGCGCAACAGAGAATAGGAATGGGATGGTATGGCGGCGAGTATGGGCAGGGGTAGGTCTCGCTAGGCGGGCAACCCGTTGGCAGGTATGGCGATGAACACACTGGGAAACCATCGTCGCGTCGCGATGAACGAGTGAATATAACAACGCCCTCGAGGTAGACCCGGTGGCCGTCACGAAATCGATCAACGAGCTACGCTAAACTCGACCTGGAAGGAAAGCCCAACCAATGCACGGAAGGAGTGATACGAACGCGAACGGTGCCGAGTCGATGACATGCGTTGTCTCGTGAGCGTGGTAATCGTCGTGGTCGGTTTGCTGACGAATCATCCCCGAGCAGTGATAGCGAGCACCGACGAGAAAGCCAATCTGATCAGTATAGGGAAATGTTGCGAGCCCGGGGAGATACTCGTAGACGACACGTGCACGCCATTGAAGGAGACCAACGAGACGGAGTGGCGACCGAAATTCGTCGAGGAAAAGGTGAACGGTATATCGAGGAGCAGGCAAGTGGAGCCTAATTATCAGCTGAAGATCGGTAAGCCTAAATGTCAGTCCAACGAGCACCAATGGAACGTGTATCATCGTCGATCCGGGGAGGATCGATTGGCGATATTGACCAACGGTATACTAAGACACTACACCACCGATCTCGCGAAAAGAACCGAGGACAGAAGTGTTTACGGACTCGATCCCGAGGAACTGATGGACGAAGAGGATCTCGATACTATGTATATTCATTACGATTATCCGTTTGGCCATTATTGCGCTGATAAAACGATTCTGACCACCGATCGACTAGTAACGACGTACGCTATGGTTTGCGTACCAGACGTGGTCGTCACGTGGACCGATACGAATTATTTGATGAGGCACGCGATCGATCCCGCGTTCCACGCTATGTCGATAGCCAGCTACCTGATCGTCGCCGTTGTCTATTTCGTATTACCGCAGCTGCGTGATCTCGTGGGAAACATGATAACCAGTATGACTCTGTGCCTTATAGCCGGCCAGTGTGCCTCCATGGTCAGAATATTCACCGAGTTCGGCAGTCATGTCAGTTTTATGGTTGCTGGTACGATCAACGTTCTTTCATAAATAACGTTTAGGGATGGGCATAACTCATGTCTTGACCACTTAAAATACTTCAATTCTATATAGCTTCCTCCTAAATACCTCTTTAATTCTAAAGTGCTCTAATCCTAAATAGCTTCAATCTCAAATGCTCAAACAAAAGGCTTCAACTTTATATATTTCTATCTTTTTCAGATACCGTAATGTACGTCTCATTGCTAGCCGCATTTTTCTGGCTGAACGCGTTGGGCTACTACGTGTGGAGTACTTTTCGTTCGCGTAACGTATTTCTACGAGTGACCGACGGCAGAAAGTATTGTTACTATTCCACGTATGTTTGGAGCTCAACGGTTTGTATAGCGGGATCAGCGATTTTCGCGCACTTCGCTTTAGAGACTAGTAAACCAGTTATCACTGGAACGATTTATCCTCCTCAGGAGACGATCGGTTGGCTCGGTGTATCTGTATTGTTCACGGCTATCGCACTGACGATACTGGTAGATCTGAGTTTCGTATTGACGACCGCGAATAGAATTAAACGAATGAGCACGTATGGTCGGATTCATCACAAAATGAAATATAGTTTCCGAATGTTTGTTTTCCTATTTGTTCTCATGAGTACCGGATGGGTCGCGTTGTTGCTGTCGCGATTGAACTACGACGTACTCGTGTATTGTCAAATTGTTATTAATCTGTTTCAAGCGATTTCGATATTATATGTATGCGTGTTCGGTCAGAGGAGAGTCACGTTCTTGCTGGGGAAAACATGCAATTGCTGTAACTCGCGAGAAAATATCGAGGGATTAGACTGGGGCGAAGAAATGACTGCCATTAACGCGGGATATTAACGACGTAATACGAAAACCCGAAGTATCAAACATAATTTCGGTTTTGTTTTGCATTTTTTATCACTTCGAACGCATCAAGCGAGATCGAGAATTTTGAATTAAACGGAGTTCTATAAGTCTGAAATCATGGTTCGCAACACGAGCCAGTGTATAACAAAAAAAAACATATCAACGATCTTGTTAACAGTATTAAATACGCCGTAAAATGAACAAATATACGATCTCGTAAAACGTGAAATGAACGTAAATTTTATTGTAAATGACAAACGAGTAGATTGAGATATTGTATATAATATTTACAAGGAGTCATACCAACTTTAACGATGCAATATAATTCAAACTATTTTTAAATATGGAAATCGAAATTTATCTATTTCAAATATTCACGAAATATTTAATATCGATCATTGTTCGTGCCTTGAAAACAAAAATTACGTTTGCCTTATGAAAATGTGCACTTAATCGTGAAATAATCGTTGAACTCGTAATACGATATATGTATAATATAGCATTTCACAATAGCGTCATCACACCTATCATTTTTTTTTTTTTTTAGCAAGAATATTATTTAAGATATTCATGTAGTATTTATATTTGTATAGAAATATAACTTTTGTACAAAAGATGTATCATCCTCTATAAACCTCAATATACTCGACAAATATATCAGTTTGCCATTTTCATTTATCTTGTCTTTTATTTTACTGAGAAAAATTTTGTAGTTCACTTACCTGTCCAAACAATCCACCTTCGGGACGACATAGTAGATTAGACAACTGACACCGCACCACCAGGTGACAATCATCCATAACTGTGTTGAAAAATCTTCTGGTTGGGAGGAGAGCCTCTAAATCTATCACTAGTTCAAGAAATCTTTCACAGTACCGCACCTTATCTGGTAAAAGTGGCCCTATTGAAAAAGAAGTATTATGTTACAACTTTATAATAGGGGAATGCCTCTCTGATAATTTATTGCTTTACCTTCTTCTGTAATTGTTTCTAATATTGCCATGAACTTGATCATTAATCTATGTAGAAATTTACGCTCCCATTCCAGCTTCTCTTTACATTCAGGATTGTCTTTCTTCCTTATAACTTTCCAATATTTCCTCCATTTTGGATACTTTCTAAACTCCAATTCTCTACGTCCTTGTTGCAGCGAAATCCACATAGACAATGACACCAACCTTTTCACTTCTTCTCTAACTAACGACACCTCCATGGAATTGAAGCAATGATTCAGAAATACAATTAGGGCTGTCTGTTCTTTCAGGTCAAAGTCCATTATACTGTCTTCAAGGCATGCTTCCAAAACATTTTGGAAGAATTCAGGGAAATGTTCTGGATTTCTTTCGAATGCTTCCCAAACTTGAACACGTTCTCGAAATTTCTCATTGACCATCACAACAATCGACATAGTATGAGCACGAGTTGCATTGCTCGCTGTATAGTTTGGCCACAAAAAGTTTTCTAGATATTGACTGAATTCCAGCATCATAATTCTTCGAATAGAGAATTTAGATGCACAGATTTCCTGAACATAAATGTCTTCTACTATCTGAGGATTAAATGGGAGGTGTGAATCTGTAGTGTGCGGTGCCCAATATTTATTCGCAAGCTGCAACAGATATAGGAAAAATTATATAAAACAAAAGGTTCGCTATCTTTAATTCTCTGTTGATACAAAAACGTATCATTATTCTACCTATGCAACAAAGTGATGTATGTATTAATAGTAAATACCTGAGTTATTCGATCAGCATTGATCTGCTCTACTGTCGGAGCAGGATTATTACTTTTTACAGTTGAGCCGTTTTGATTTTCCATGTTGGCTTTAATTAATGTCTATTTAAATCCACAACTTAACCTAACTTAATACGACGTCAAGGTTAATGTTACGAACACTGCCGTCCACATGACACGAGTAACAACTTTGATTACGCGTTTGCGTAAACGTACATTTACGATTGTCTTATCACTCATTTCATTTGGTTTTTTGCATAAATGTATTCTTTTAGTTAATCACATTCACTTTTCCAGCACACTGCACCACACACAATGTTAAGTGTACAATGGTCTCCCATTTTCAAAATGCTTAATTTGCTGCCGTTCATTGGCTGCACAGACGCTACGTCTGTGATTGGCTGTGAGAGCCTCAATCGTTCATTGGCTGCATCCAGAAAGGCCACTAATGTATTAAAATAAGGTCCGCCAAAGTAAATTACACCCTATGTTGTAGTGTTACACAGCAAATAAATAATAATTGTCTAATGCCTAGTTTTTTAAATAAATTGAAATACCGAAAATGGTGCCATCTCTCGGCAAACCGCCCAAGCTGGTCGTGAAATAGTTTCTACATAGTGTCGTTAGGTGGCGTCACAAAAATAAAAATATTTGAAACATAAATTCACTTCTTTTCTCTTGGTGATTTAGAAAGTCGTGACCTTCCAGTGATAGATATATCCATAAGGATCGTATAAATTATGCATTTATAAAGATTAAAGAATAATTGATTAAAGTATATTGGTGGCGCCATCTAGCAGCAACAGTGAGAACTACTTTCACTACAAACTTGGGCATTCGCCACCGATGACGCCACTGTCACTAAATCCCGCTCAAAAAGCGGCTCAGTGAGCGATGACGTTCTAAACGAATTTGATTGGTTATATTAGAAATAGTTATTGAATTGCTATTTTAAAGTTATGAACAAATTAGCATAAAGAGAAGAGCAAGGACTAACTTGTATATTTCTATTCTTCATTTCTAGATACGGTTAGTACTTGTTTAATTCCTTTTATTATGCAATCCTTTGTTCTGTGATTTAAACTGACTGAAGAGTCAACCGCCATTTCTCTGACACGTGAATTATACTATTGTAAATATATTCGATTTGAAAACTTTCATGGGTAGACAGTATGAGTATGATTTTGTCTAATTTTATCTCGATTAAGTTTTTGATAAGAAACATGTAAGACCATTTTCTATACTTTAAAGACATCTTAATTCATCGTAATAATAATTTTCAGTAGTAAATGAATTATATCCTGACAACTTTTAATACAGACCAAAAATAGACAGAATGTCAAATTTAAGGAAAACTGAGGCAAGACGTGATAGTGAACAAATAGTTGTTAATGCTAAAAGAATAAATATATCAAAAGATGATGATATAGATACAGACATGAATATTGCAGTTACAAGTGACAAAGCACTTGTAGATATTTCTGAACAATTATTGTCAGTGGAAAAGAATTTGGCTATTGAGTTAGGGAAAATTACATTCCGTTTGCCTGTGGAATATGTTTATAGCCCACTTGAATATGCATTTAATATACATTCTATGTATGTAAACAAGTATTGTACCACTGCTAAAAAAATGTTATTTCTTGGAATGAATCCTGGTCCCTGGGGTATGTCTCAAACCGGTGTTCCATTCGGAGAAATAAATATGGTTCGCGATTGGTTGAAAATTAGTGGACCAGTTGGAAAACCTGCTAAAGAGCAACCAAACAGAAAAATAACTGGATTTCAATGTACACGCAGTGAGATTAGTGGAAAAAGATTATGGGGCCTTTTTCAAGAATTATGTGGGAATCCAGAAAAGTTTTTTAAACATGCATATTTACATAATTATTGTCCTATTGCATTAATGGACAAAAAAGGCCGTAACATCACACCAGCAGAAATAAAGGCAATACAGACCTTCTTATAAACTTGTATGTGTATATTAAATGTTATATCTTTTTAGGGATCAGAAATACAAAAAGTGCATTCTTTTTGTGACAAGGCTTTGGCAGATGTAATTAGACTCCTAAATGTTGAAATTCTTATTGGCATTGGTGGATATGCAGAGAAAAGAGCATTACTTGTAGTCAAATCTTCTAAGTTGCCTGTCAAGGTAGTCAAGAAATATTTCATTTTGGGGTTCATATATATTTATGTGTGTTTTGTTTTTCAGGTTCTGTGTCTACCTCATCCAAGTCCACGTGCTGCAAATAATAAAAATTGGAGTGAAAAGGCAACCAAAAAGTTGAGCGAATTAGGGCTACTTGAATACTTTACCAGTTAAATACAGTTATTAGAATATGAACATTTCAACAAAGACACCTTTAATGGTGAAGTTGTGATTTATGTATGAAAGATTTGTTTGAGTTTGAGTTTTGAGCTGTGACAGTTTTATAATTTTCCCAATCTTTAAATTTTGATACAATTAAATATAATTTGAACATTCAAAAATTTTAACGAAAAGCATAATGGACACTTTGACTTGGATGGATGTCGCGTTACAAAAGGCAGATGATTCGTTAAAAATTGGCGAAGTCCCAGTTGGCTGTTTGTTTGTGTACGATAACAAAGTCATTGCTATAGGTAATAATACAGTTAATGAAACGCGTAATGCAACTCGACATGCAGAGATAAACTGTATAGATCAAGTTTTAAAATTCTGTAAAGAGAAAGATTTGAACTATAAAAATGTTTTTCCTAACATCGATGTTATCGTTACTGTAGAACCATGTATAATGTGCACATCAGCATTGTATCAACTACAAGTTCGTAACATTGTATACGGTTGTGCAAATGACCGTTTCGGTGGATGCATTAGCGTTTTCGAAGTACCCAAACTTTACAATTCAGAAACTAAAGTAATAGGTGGCGTCAAAGGTGATGTAGCAATGGCGTTATTGAAAGAGTTTTACAAAGGCACGAATCCAAATGCACCCGAGTCAAAAGTGAAAAAAGATCGTAAATCGACGAACTGTTCGAGTACAGAGAGTGTTTAATTTTTATTTGATTTTTGGTTTTTTTTTCGTCGACTAATGAAAAAAGGATTTGTTTTTATTTTGGTACGAGTGATTAGATGTATAAATAATGAACAGTATAAAAATATATACATGTTTCGATATGTTATAATTGTTATTCGTTTTGTACTTTTTTATAAGCGTGTAAAGATAGTTTGTAATAAATATTTAAAAAGATTATTCTAGTTTTTAATAACAAGTACTAGAATTAAAAACATTTTACTTATGAACACCACGCATGGTCTATCTCACATTTCCCTTGGTACCATCTCACTAATAACTGATTTCTCAGTGAATAATCTTTGAGCACCATATTTTTTGTCTGAAAGTTGTAATCAATATTTGTATAAAGATATTAAAGAAAAAAGGGCGCTTATTAAAAAGAAACTTACTATAGATGGTGGGAAAACTCTTTGGAAGTCCATTTTATTCTGATGTTCCAGATAACTCTGGGACAAAATAAGCTTGGTTTCAGCCGTGAAACACGGTCTACAAAGCTGACATTCTACTCGGAAGCAATCGTTGCATTCCGTGCAGAGTTGTGGCAACACGACTAAATTTTTATCAGCTACCACCATTTCTTCTTCCATCTTGCCCCTAAAATAAAAACCAAAAGTTAAACGACTATCGTATTAGTACAAGATTTATTGTAACTAACAATTACCTTAATTTTAACGAGTCTTTCCTGATTCGTTGACCAACGCCAATCAACGCGAATAAATTATAAATAACTTGCTCGTAAAGTAATTGGTTCGGTGGATAATGGGCGGAGGACAAATTCGGAGACATATTCGCTTCCATGGTGTAAACGTTTAAATCTTCGTCAAGCGCAAAGTCGATTCTAACTAATTCAAAGAAATTTCTTCCATTCCCGAAACGTTTCGCGGCTTCTTTGATGTGGCCTTCTTTTAGCAACATAATCTCCTTTATCGCTTCGTGTGCTGCGCGCCAGACCTTCTCTGGATCTTTTCCCTGTGTTCTAACGTACGCGTCGAACGTATCCTTCATCGAGAATCCCAATTTGGTGTAATAATGTTTCAAAGACGGAACGTTCCAAATTGGCAAGTAATCGTCGCCGACTACGTACTTGTCCAAAACATCGGGTTCGAACGGATGATATTTGACAGGGCAAAATCTGAACAGGACATCGCCTTTGTACGCGTATACTCTGAGGGGATCGATGGACGTGATAACAGTGTACACGCCTATATCAAATTTGTAACCGTCCACGAGAAACGGCCGCTGTATAAATTCTTGCACGAAGGACCCCGTCGTCGTGAGATTTATATCGTTAGTGGTTTTAACGCTGATGCCCCGATGGTCGTTGGATTTCTGCACGAAAATCTTCTGCGGGTGTTCGTTAACGTAGCGTAAGAATTCCTCTCGTTGTTCCGGCAGTTTGAACGCCGGAAGTATATATCGGCCCTCCGTCGTCGACAAGTCTACTTTGTTCGTGATGTATCCGCACCCAGGGAAATGATTAACGCGCCGATGACCATCCAGATTGCTAATGTTGGAAAATAAAGCTCTGAATGGGTAATCGTGTGCCCACAACAAATCCCAATTCGAATCGTCGGTTCGTTTAAAGCCTAAACGATCCAATACAGCGAACACGTGCTTCAAGTATCCGGTATCGTTATTTTTCGCGTATATCCGATATAACGGTCTCTTTTCTTCTATTTCGATTACTTTCGTACGTACCGTTACTAAATTTTCTTGATAATACAAGAAGAGAAAGAATAGGGAGTATAGAAGCGCCGGACCAAGGACGGAATATAGACAAATTTTTAAAATCGTTTTCACCTTCAAACTCATAATTTTAGTGTAAACCACGGAATTGGTATCCTGTAAAAGTAAGACGTTCGTTATAAGTTAGTGTAATAATTATTGCGTAGTTGGCAAACTCTACGTACCTGTTTTTCGTCTTCTTTTTCCTGCTTCTTCTTCTCTGACATGATTGACCATATGATTCCGGTATCATTTGTCGACGTACCTGTGGAGAAGAACACTATATTAGTGTTTAAAACGCTAAGTTGCAACGAAAGTACCGTTGGAACTTTCCCCGCTACGCTGCGTGTCCTTCAAGTGGGGAGTACATACGAGAACCGGTTCTTATTCATAGATCTTTCGCTGTGTCCCCATTTTTTTGTTTAAATTATTCGATAGAGTGGATTAAGAAGATATAATGAACTTAAGAAATTGAAGAAATCAGTGGTCTGCGCTTAATTCAGAAAATTAATATATACACATGTGTTTTGGTAGCGAATGACTATCGCATTTGTATTATTCAATTCATTGATTTCTTAATAGGAATTATTTGAAAAATGGGTGGGAATCACTGTGGCTTCCTGCTACTCGTAACAGGTGCATCCAAAAAGGTCATCGCTCACTGAGCCACTCTGAGTGAGGTTTAATACCAGTGGCGCCATCGGTGGCGAAACGTCCAAGTTTGCAGTAAAAAAAAAGGTTTTAACCGGTCCTGTAAGATGGCGCCACCGATACCTTTTAATCAATGATTCTTTTTTTCATAAATACATAATTAATACGTCTCTTTGCTTTATAACGATAAATTACATTATTTAAATACATTGTTTAAACATTTATGTTAATAGTTATTTAATACTGCATTAATTATCGGCCCCTTTAGGAACTATTTTCGCTACAAACTTGGGCGTTTTGCCACCGATGGCGCCACTGGTATTAAAACCCGCTCACAGAGCGGCTCAGTGAGCGGTGGACCCATCCTCACGCTGTAAGTTAATGGCGCTTCCTGTCTTTTTCGCTATTGAATCGGTGTAGCAAGCATCTTTTTGACGAAGAAATGGGTTTCCAAAATATTTGGTACTCGCATCCGCGAAAGTATGGGCAAGGATCAAGGTCCTGGTATGTATTATCACTTTGTAACTGATTGTACGATAAAAAAAATATACGTACGCTACAAAATTGCATGGAACATAATCGACCGCGTGTTACGGAAGTTTATGTTTCTTTAATAACAATAAACTTCTGTAATACTCGTAATAATCGTTTTAGACAGTTCAAAAATTATTATGCTCTTATCGTATGATAACTGAATATACCTATATCTATTAATGTAATTTAATTGAGTGAAATATGTTTCCACATGATGCGAATCGTAACCTTAAAATAATGTTTTGAACGTATTCCAAACGTTCTTGCTTTATCTCTTCGTTAAAAAATTTAATTGTAAATAATTTATTTTGCAGTCGTGCTTGCGCAAACAGGCATGGATTAATTCGCAAATATGGTTTAAATATTTGTCGACAATGCTTCAGAGAGTATGCTGCTGACATTGGTTTCAAAAAGGTATTGTATTGCATTCTCTGTTATATCTGTAAATACATTTGTACATATTCAAGACCAATATTTTTTAAATTTATGTTTTTACTCTTGCAGCTGGATTGATGGAGATACATTGTAAATACAACAATTTCCCGAAAAACTAAATTCAAACTTTATGTATGTACAAGATAAAACTTTTTCTATGTGAAATTTAATCATAGTGAAATGTGGATTATGTAACTGAACTGGGAAACAAAAATAAATTATAATGTATTGAATTTGATAATAAAATAAAAAATAACATCTGTATTTATATTATACATGTGTATGCTATATTCATTTTTTTAATTATTCAAATAAGATAAGTAATAAAGTAAGTTACTATTATTATCTATGTACCATACCAACCTATGGAATATCATAGGCAAACTCAAAGAAATGTTGTTAGTGGTTGAAACAATGGGTGAAGTACCTTCTTCCATCAGTCAATAAGGGAATCTCTGTAATTTATACTGTTTAATCAATTCATATTTCATGTGTAATCATCAGTGAAATAGAACAGATAGTATATATATGTTGCAATACTTATTGTAAATATTGAATTTTGATATTAATCGTAACGTTTGAAGTTAACCTCTTCGCAATTTTCGTATTCTGTTACAAGTACGATATCAAGAATAACGTTAGAGAGTTACTAGAATTGCGAATAAAATATTCTATCGATATCATGATAGCGAATGAAGAGTAATATTTATGATTATCTAATCGTACTTTTATAACCAGGTGGAAAAAAATGGGATTTCAAGATTCGGTGCAGTACATATTATTCACTAACCCAATCGCTACTACTGCAAAATCGTATGTTTGGGATTCGACTGCATCGGTAAGTCACATTGTCATACAAAGAAAAAATAGTGTTCCTAATAGAAACGTAAATATGTAGTCTATGAAACTTATATACGAAGTTGTTTCTCTTTCATGTTGTATATGTACTTCATTTGAAAAAATTTTAATTGACTTTCCTATGAATCGTTTTATAAAGTTATTTCATAACTACTCATTTAATACCAAACAATAAGTTAGCATTTTTTTGTATAATTAAATATAATTACAAGTAGCATTCTATACAAATTTTATAGGAAAAAGTTACTTTGTCTGTATTAGGAGTGTATATTGATAAGAAATTTGGTAACATATTTGTTTATAAAATTGGTACTATTTTGATAATTGTATATGTCCATAGCTATTAGGTTTTGCGAAACCTCGCTCTGTAGAATTAAGAATGGCACCACAAATACCTTTATGGAAATTAGCTAGAGCTACAGGACCATACGTAAGACTTGCTGCTCTTAGTGGAGCAGCAGCTGTGGCAATTGGAGCTTATGGCTCTCACAGTAAGAGCAACTTTATTTCTTTATATGTTTAATATCAATTAATATAGTAAAAAGAAAGAAATATCAATATCAAGTAATTTTTAATTCTTTATATTTCAGAGAAATATGCAGAGGATATGCAACACGAACAAAAAGTTTTTGAAACTGCAAGCAAATACCATTTTGTTCACACATTAGCATTATTGGGTTTACCTCTATGTAGAAAGCCATTTTTGGTATGTTTAATTTCAGTGTAATATGAACAAATATTATAATTTTGTAAGCATTATTATATTTGTTTCGTTATTTAGGCTGCAACATTCTTTATGTCTGGAATAGCATTATTCTGTGGAACGTGCTACTATTCTGCATTTACGGGTGATAAACAATTTAATAGAATAACACCAGTAGGTGGTTTTTGTTTTATATTCGGATGGTTGATTATGTGCATATAAATTTTTCAAGAAATATAAGAACCTTTGTATGAAAATGAAGAAAAAAACAGAATAATATAAATAATAAACGGATTCTGCAACTATTATACCAACATCATAAAAAAATGTTATTGTCAATGTATTGTTGTCTCGAAATAAATTATCTTCCGATGATTTGAAATAGTTTTTAATTTTACTGCCAAACACGTTTGCGATTACATTTATTGAAAACTACTAAAAAAACAGAATATTATTTGAATAATAGTAAAACTCATTTATACTACTAATGAATTGTTATAAATGTAACTCTTGTTTATAATATTACCGACATAGGTTCAGATCGTATTCTAAACCATAATGCACTATACAGTGCATTTCTAAGTCTTCGTCCCTCGAACATTTTCTCTTACCAATGATTTCCATTTTTCTCTATTGTGTATACATTACCAGCTGTAATTCGTCATTATTCGTATTAGAAATGTAATGCAAAAATATAAGTATAACCTGTTTTACGTTTATCGTAAAATTATGACGTATTATAATATTGGCGACTAATTAAATTTTGCGATACAATGTAAAATGAAATAATATCGTAACAGATGGAACAGCCGAGCTTTGAAGCAATATTGTAAATCTTATTTTAAGAATTAGTTTAGAATGATAACTAATAACATGAACCGTGATCCGTTAATTCGTCGATTAATTCCTTAAATACATGAAATAAAAAACAAAAAAAATGATGTATATATATTGATCATTTCAAGCAATGGTACATAATATAAGTGTAAAACAAATACAGTCGCGTTTTAATTTTTGTTTCTACTTTTTGATCAATTCATATGCTCACAATTTTCATTTAGAATCACATTTTCTACAGAGATATAAGAAAGTAATGTACCTTGTATAATCCATTTGATACACCAGCTTCGCTGACTTTATATCCATTCTATTTCATATTATACATTTGTCGTACATTTTTCATAAATAGATACTTTGCCTGTAAGTAAGTGGATATAAGAATTTTCTTCGATTCACGTATTATTACGATGACTCGATCTGGCGATGCTGGCTGCACTTTTACACAGCTAAGTAAAGTATTAATTGGACTATCTTACCTAGAATAAAAATATCAAATAAGTTTAATTGGTGATACATCATATAACTTAAATATAGGAGTGTGTTGCACGTCAGTTCGCACAGTGCTCGCAGACGCTGTAAATTAAGCAGCGAACACAAGAGATCGATTATGAAAATAAAACGATGGTCATTAAACACGCTATTATATTCGAAGTTGTTTTTTCGGTTTTTCTTTTTTTTTTCTTTTTTTTAAAGGTGATGAAGCCATGAGCCACTTTTGTTTTGTAGCGCACAGTTGTTTACTGATCTTAACTCGTGACATCACTGCGAATTGTGAGACATGAGATTGGCGATTTATGGCGGTGCTAAATGCACCACTGATATAAAATTTACTTATACTTATACCTAGTAAACGTTCCCTCAAACTAAATTATATTTAATTAGTATAGAGTTCATAGCAATATCATTTTCTTGTTACTATTATATAAAGTATTTATATAGACTTGCGTATATTAAACTATATTTACAACTTTTATTAACTATTGTAACACATCAATTATAAGTTTCCTAGAACAAGGCTGCTCCCAAGCTACCTGGTTCGTAATACCACAAGAGGAAACTCATACAGTAGGGTTAACATCGTCTTTGCACTTTTCTTTTTCTGGTAAAATATATCACAATTCAAATTCATAAATAAAAAGGATAAACATCAAATGAAGATTTATTAATGAATTGTCGCTAAAATCAAAAAATGGTAATCCTCGAAAAACTCGTATAAAGTGCAAAATTGCGATTACTGAGTCTCGTACCAAACGCAGTTATTTTTTCTCTCGATATTTTAAAAGTTGTTTGAATAATTGGTCTCAACCTGGACAATGCGATAGGAAAAGAGCAAAATGGCGCGCCGGTTTTCCATCAGTTTCTAGGAAAGGTGGAACGAGTGTTGTCCTTCTTGTGCAGCTATTCGCAATTTTTCCCGCATTATTTCTAAAGTTGTGTAATCGGGCAGTTTTAAGTAATTAACGCAAGTCATTACGGATGGTAAGAAATCGTCTGTTTTCATCGACGGATCGAAAGTTTTTCGCACTATTGTTAACGGTGGCGTTAAACTCTTAAAACCTGCGAAACAAAGTGCCATTTAATTATAATAAATATATCTTATTTCATTTGTAACATACCAACAGTAAAACATTGAATATATTTACCTCCAACTGGTAATCGCGGCGAACCAGTGACGAACTGAATGAATTGCCGTTGTTCTTCACTGTCGTATTTTGACATAACCTCAAACAAAAAACGTATCGCGCGAGAATCTGGCGTATAACCATGATCAGTCCTACAACATTCCGAAAGAGTTTTCACATCCCACTGTCCACCCGTTTGTGCATGTCCGCAGAACACAGCTTCGAGTTCTTCAGGGAAGAACAATCGTAATTGCGACGGTGGAAATACAGATTCAAAGCCTTCCCGAAACGCTTCCATTTGTCTGAAGACACCCTCGTACAAGAACCAATGTACCACCAACTGAAACGTCAAGAAATCTCATATATAAAAATCAACGACATTAAAAAATAACGTATTACGATTATAGAACAAATAAAAATACCTTGATATACTGATCCAGGTTATAAATAGTAACAGATATCTCACTTCCACCTTTTCTTAATTCGATGTTTTCGTAACCAGGTAATTCAAAAACAAGGCCAAGATCCGAAATTGGACAACCATCTAAACTTAGCGAATCTATTAGTTGTGCTTTTTCGTGTGGCCTTAACGTTTGATCTTTCTCGATTGTTTCCTTTTGTCTAACTATGTCTTGCAGTTTACTAAGAGTTCGATGTACATCAGCACATACATAAGCTAAATCGTTTAACGTCAATGTATGTTCTTCTCCCAACAACCAACGATAGAAAGTTAAACTAAATGGCAAGTCCAACTGCGAAAAATCATCGAAAGTGTCAATTCAACATTGTTATGAATATATTAAATTTAACCAGAAATGAAAAAAAATAAATTATACCATTCTTGAATCGTATATCGCTTTCGCCATAAACTTTCCGAGAAATTTTAACTTCGTTTTAAGTTTTGCAAGATGAGATACTTTAGTATTCCACGAAATTGGCATTGTGAAAAGTCCATGTGACGGATTAACGTATCCTGATTCAGTAGCGCTTGAACTACCGTGCCAAAGGTCTAGATCGGCACGCTGTAATTCTCGAGAGACTAGAGCATAAAATTCTAAAGTTGGGCCAAGACCGGTACCAACCTGTAAGACGAATGAATCTTTCGTATCTTGGAACAAAAATAACATCTTATATCATGTGTAAAGAAAAGAAAAAAAAACAAACCTCGTTAACATATTGCACTTCAAGTAAGGCTTTGCTAGACGCTAAGTCTTGTATAACTTGTTCCGCTTGTTTGAGAATATCGGTTCTGGAGATAGTTCTTTTCCTTCGCTCTAAACGTGGAGTAACGCGTTCTTGACTATCCGATCCCGATAGTTCTGGTGCGGAATCCAAAAGACGTTGTAAAGCTCTATCTCGATCGAACGAAGTTGCATAAAGCAATAATTGTCTTGTTTCGAATGGAAACAGGAATGGACTGTAAAACATTTAAAAACAGATTTATAAAACTCGTATTAGCAAATTAATAGGATGGATTGTGCAATACTAACCAGACTGTAGCAATTTGTTGTAGCCACAAAGGTAAGTTTCCCGTCATGATCACCAAAGGATCTTGTAGTTGTCTACTTGCTTTCGCAGCTATTTTATTATTAATAAAGTCTTGTGGAGAAAGTAGGCTTACACACTTTAGATGAGGAAATAGAACACCCCAATGACGATTTAATGTGTGTAAAAGACGTAGTAGGCACAAACCGTCTAATGAAGCATCGGTAATGGTAACCGAGGGTGGTAAGATGGGAGACAAATAAGGATCGAGAGGACATCGTTGTGGAGGGACGGTTCCTTCGAGCCACAAACTATCCTCTTTTCGTTTCGAACTGATCTTTGTACTCTTTCCTTTGCCTTTACGGCTGCTACCCTGTGAACTTGAACCTGGTTTTGGTGATGTTGCAGTTTCTTCCTCTGGTACAGGCCTATGTATAAAGAAATACATATATTTAATTACTGACAAGTAAACAGAATTCCTAAGAAGTATTTAAGTTTGCCATAAAAGTCAATTGAATTAAGGTACCTGTAATAAATTGTGTGAGTTTGTACCCATACAGCATCATGACCAAGTGGTGGTTCACCATCAGCTTCTGCTTCAGAATGATCAATTCCAGAACAACCGAACTGTCTGACGGCTTGATAAACAGTCATATTGAAAGGCAGCACTTCGTCTCCAATTAAGAATTGGAGTTTGTGTTTTGCTGATCCTTGACTTATAACTACCGCTGCCTGTAAGTTTCAGTAAATTCTAAATATTGTTCGTAGTTCGCGATTGTTTTGAATAAGAAAAAATATATAAAACTTACCAGAGTATCATCTATATCATCTTCACTATTATCATCGTCACTAACCATAGATTCCGCTTCTCGTATTCTACCATATCCACGGACCATTAAATAACGTTCAATTGCTTGTACTAACGCCAGAGGATCTATCTTGACAGTACCTCCTTTCCACTGTTTCAAATTGTTACATTCCGGATGTCGTTGGAGATTACACTACAAAATCATAAAAAGTTGGATATAAAAATGTTCCCTACAATTTACCGATAAATTTAAAGAGGATGCATACGGTACCTTAAGTTGATGTGTATTGAAGAACTTGAGAGCACTAGTACCTCCACGACCAGCACCAGATCCTGCTGGTAAATCATGAACTTTCACAGGAAATTGTTCCAATTGTGCAACACAACTATTCAACTTTGCCACCAAAGCACCAAAAGCTCCAGGATTAAGATCCATGATATTGTTGCTCTGCTGCATCTGAAAAATATGCAAGCAAATATCGTGTAGAAGTAAAAAGCATTGAAAAGTAAACACAGGCTTATTTTACTTACAGTCGATTCCGCGAACAATTTCCAGAACATACGAAGGCGATCATAACGATTACCAGGAGCGTCTGTAGTAGTGAGGTAGTTGAGCAGAGCTTTAATAAGACCACTATAATTCATTTCGAACGGAGATATATCACTCTCGAGTACGATATCTCGCAATTCAGTAAGCGCCGATAACATTTCATCCAATTCCTGTTCATATATTGTTTATTATGATTTTCATTATAACAGATCATGCAATGGAAAGTTTATTTTAGATAAACTTACATTTGATTGTAACCGTTGTATAGCGGCAGTAAGTCTCGAAAGGACTGTCATTGCAGGATGTGTACAGGGTGCGTTGTCCTGATATCGCGACAAGAACTGAGCAGCCTGTTCACGTACCCATGCTTTAGCTTTATCTCGATTACCACCCGTTAAACTAGAATTGCTTGGCGGTTTCGATAAACTCGTCGACGAGCTCGAATCTCTTTTATCGTTAGTAGAATTTGAAGACGACGATTTTCGACCCCATCTAGCGGGATTAAGATTTCCTAAGAAACGATTATTTTTAGTAGCGAAACCAGTAAAAAGTGATTCGGGTTGTTGAGTTTGTTGCGGGGTTGTACCACTTAATCTAGAAAAACGACCCTTCTTGTTTTGTCGTTTCCTTTTTAGAACGTCTCCGAGTCTCCTAATAAATCGTAAACATAAATGGAATAATTTGTTTGTGATTTTCCTTAGTTTCCTTTTACATTTTTCTAAGACTTACAAATGAGTACTCTGTGGCGTCGTTACATCGTCTACTGTGGAGTTTAATTCGTTTCTAGCGTGTGTTTCCATTGATGCGGATAGGTTCGGTTTCAATTGACATGTTGCAATTGTACCAAACAATATGTTACCATTTGTCGATGGAGAAGCAATTGGAGATGTGGCATTACTAGAGGACAACATTGTGGTGGAAGAAAGTGATGTATTTGACGGACCTGGTTGTGGAGTTGGTAATGATGTACCTAAAAATACAAAACAAAATCGTTGAACCGCTATTTACAACCAAATATTAATACATCATGTACGTAGGTGTCAGTTAAATAAATTACCAGAAGGACACTTGGGTGGCGAAACACCAAGAGGTACTTCAGGGTCAGCTAGTTGACGAATTTGATGTAGCACGCCTTCACGATGGAAATGAACCCCAAACACTTGCGGTAGTCTTTTCATTAATATACTTGCCATCTGCAGAGCTCCAATAACAATTCGTAAATCTTGGGATGCCAGCATGCCCGCTATGTGTGATGATACTACTTGGTTCTTCAAGACATCCTAGATAAACAGCATGAGATATGAAAAATACAATTAACTATCGATGCGAATAGTTGTAATGTCCTCCATTAATACCAACCTTAAGTAAGTCGGTTGAAGCATAATAGACCATACGTAAAAGAGCTCGAAGACATTTACATTTTACAGCAGGGCCAGCAGAACTACTGTAGACTTCGTACAATACAGAGAACAAAGTTCGGATAAAAGACACTAGCCATTCGTTTGTTTCAATTACTGGAGGCACGACATCCATGCTGTGAGAAATGTATAATTTAGTGAAACATGCGCTTAAATTTGCATTTATTTGATAAATTAATATTAAGTTTGATATTAATATTAACCTTGATAAACAAGTAGGGCTCTTGCCTTCTGTGGGATGAGTATTTACTCTACGAAAAATGCTTCGTGCTACTCCAATGTCTTCATTGATTTGTTTCATCACAGTCAGATCTATCGTATAGGTTCGTCCTAAAGAGGACAAACAAATCTCATCCTCGCCATTCTGAAATGCCATCTGTAAAAGATCATTATCAGTATACTATTTATAATTGTTCTTTTATAAAGAATTTATTATTCTGATAATGATACCTCAATAATTCTAGAATCGATAGTACTAAATGGATGACAACAATGCCTTTCATCGCGCCACTCCCAATGAACGTTTTCTTGTTGATTACTGGTCCTTTCAAGTAAACTATTTACACTAAATATACCATCGGTTGGTAGCGGAGGCATGAGCTCCTCGATCAAACAAGTGATCTCGAACCACTCTTGCGGAGAACGCGGCACTAACTCTACATCTTCTGTTTTCACTTCCAGGGATCCGGTTAAAAGATAACTTAGCGTAAACGCTATATTTTGTTGCAGCAGCAGCTGTGCCAAGTCAGGACAGCGATTTGATATCACAGAGAGCATACGTAACACTGTTATGAAATTACCAATGCTATTGACAGGTGGCGTAATCATAAGCTAAAATATGGAAAAGTATACACGTTATCAGTGACCAAAATATAGTAATATTATTGTAGAATATAGTTGGCGTCAAATTTGAAGGAGTAAAGAAATTATAGTTGTTGATACTATTGCGGAATATTGAAATATAAATATAACTCGTACCAGTTGTTGTAAGTTTTGAAGAAGTTCTGCATTGATAATTTTATGTAGAGTTACAGGATCATGTTGAAAACTATCGACTAAACGACTAAATGCTTGACAAACACATTCAACACTTTTTTTATCCTGATTTGTTAATCTACTTGTCAATAAAGGCAGACTGTCGACTACCAAATGAAAATCATCAGGATGGAGATTTTGACAACAGTTAGCTGTAATTGTTAATGCAGCCCGCTGAGCCGTAATATTAAAAAAATCGACAAATTTTAAACAAGCCGACACTCCTCCCTAAAAGGACACAAATTAAATCTTATGTGCGTTCGTTTTGAATTGCATATTTCATCAAACAAAAGAAACGTCTTCCACTTCATTTCTGAGTCTTTGTCAAAATGATTTTATACTTTTCTACGTCATTTTTCGGAAATCTCATTTTTGCCGTGCTTACACTTGACGTTGATTTAGTAAACGACTCATTGTACTTACCGCATGTAAGATGGTTTTACTGTGTCTTCGCGATAGCATAGCTAATGCTGTTAAACACTGCTCAGCCACATCCATGCACTCTATGGATTCCAGTTTTTGTAAGAACACTGGAACAGCGTCGACCACAACCGTCGACGATCGAGGCAAAGCTTCCATCATGTAAGTAAGAGCACGACACGCATGTGTCATTATTACAAAATTGTGCTCTATTCCAAGTAAATTAATTAAAGCTGCGACCACTTGTTTCACTGGAAAACCAGTCAATGTGTCCTCGTTTCCCATAACAAGAATTTCACCCATTCCGATAACAGCTTGAAGCTGTTCTCCCTCGTCATCAACAGCTTGCAGACCAGTCAAGAGCTGTTGCGCCTTGGCAGCTAAAATCGCAAGATAATCGTATGTAAATTTAAAATCGTAAAATTTTGTATACAAATGCAAAAGAAAGAATAATTACCAGAACTTGCTCCCATACTTCTGTTTAATAAGTGTTGCATTCGCGATCCTAATGCGCCAAATACATGGGGAGGTAAGCCTCTTGCTTCCAACAGTGCTTGCAGTCTTCCAACTTCTCCATCGTCGCTTTCACTATCTCCCGTAGTGGCAGACATTCCGGATGGTCCCCCACTCGCTAGTTAAATTAATAAAAAAGTTAGTGGTTAGTTTGGAATAAAAGCAAACAGTTGACGCTGAGAATGTTACGAAATCCAAAGTTTTCAAGAATACTTACCAGTGGCAGATGTACCTGTAGATGCTGATTCGTCCTCACCTGTTGTAGTCACTAATTGATTGCCAGGAACTGTGGATGAGACCGATGTTGGTGTAGCACTATTGGTTACTGATTCAGTTCCTGACATTACACTTCCTACTCCTCCAGAACCGCCTTCTATCACTGCTTTCCTTGCACGTGACGAAGAGCGGTGTCTAAACCAAAAGCATGTATGTTATTTAAGTATATATAATATAAAATTGACGTAATGTGATGTTGTTTCACATATTTTGTACACAAAATAATTACCTGGAGCTTGAACAAGTGCCCGTTGTAGAGTCCTTTTTATGATGCTTTCCTGAAGTTTTGTTACTAGTTGGCAGTTCTTTAGCTTGCTCACTGGAGAATTTTGCGCGAGGACGTAATATATGCTTGTGCGTAGGATGAGGGTGTGCAGGGTTGGCAGCAGCGGTGGCAGACACAGGTGGATTGGCAGTGGCTGTTGTGATGCCACTAGTGCCTGCCCCGTCATGTGCCAACACCCCCCCACCACTCTCCACAGAATTACTGGCTGTGTTACCCACTCTGATGCTGGACTTCACACCCAAAACTGGACTACTCGCGCTGTTATTCGCGCAGGTTGCACCGCCGTGAGGTTTCGACACTAAAATATTGAAACACATCATCATTATGATAATTGAACGAAATATAATTGTACTATTTCCAACGGTTTTTAAATTTCCGTTTAAATTTCATTATCGTCAGAATTCATTACCATTTTTCACAATAAGGAAAAGAAGGACTCTAACATAAACATGAAATGCTCCTAGTGCACGCTAAATAAATTTTATACATACTATCAATTATTTTTGTTGTGCATTTATATGAATCGAACATTCTTGATAATTGAGTTAGTAATAAATATGTTATGATTTTATAATACAGTATTTGCATTGTTCTTAGTGCAATCTAGAATCTATTCAAGCACGTATTTGCTTAAACCTATTTATTTTAATTGCATACATATTCATATGTTAAGTATGTTTACACATTCATTTCTCTGTTAAATCTAGACAGATGTATAATACATGCTTTATTAACTTCTAATAGTTGTTTCAGATATTTTGTTAAATAATTGTTTTATATTTATAACAATGTAAACGAGATATGGAAAAGTATGTGTAGTATTAGATATTGATAATGTTATATTTATGATGATAAAATCAGTGCTACATTATTAGAATTGAAATGATAAATGATAGACATTATAGTCAATCTCACTTCTATAGAAATATATAAAAATATAAGCAATAGTTCATTATACATCAAAGTTACATCATTAGTATTTAGTTGCACATTGCTACATATTGAATATCATTGCTTATGACTGTACTTTTGTATTTGCAAAAAGCCTTAAATTTATGAAATAGATTACCTAAACAAATTTCCAAATTATTATTTAATAAAAGTCAAGTAGATATTTACACACTTTTGTGTTGAAACATTCAAACAATGTGTCCAAAATATAATTGTCACATCAATTTATTAAACATAACTTAATAAATAGTTTTATACTTTTGTAGAAAAATGTTATTTATATATTTTCTCCTACTTATATTTAAAATTTCGTACACCTTTATTATACTGTTTATTAGTGTACTCCTATATTTTCTCTTTACAAAATGTGTGTACCAAATATGTATTTATTGCACAACATTACTATGAATAAACTGTGGCTGTCTTATGTGAACTGTATTTGTCTTGTACGTAAACTTAGTTCATTTACAAGAGTTCAAACATTATGTTAATAAATATTTGCTTATTATAAAACATCAGAAGCCTTTGTTACATTTACAAATATTATAAAATATTATATAATACCTATACTTCAATTTTGCCATAATCTTTTCAAATATCTGGTACACATTGGAGATATATATAATATTTTTAATATTATAATAGAACATTACATTTATTATTTTCATATATTTTCATACCTTGTAAATTAATTTCAAATCATGATATATTTAAAATCATGAAGTATCTTAAATTAATAATTAAAGTGGTAATAAGCAATAGTGTTTGAACTTATATGTACTTTTTACCACATGAAATTTCAGGTGGCACAAACACTTTGTATCATTATAATTACATTAGAATTATATTTACTATGTCTGGAGAAATAATGTCATGCATAAATCAAATTTGACACAAACAATTTGATCCGTTAATAAGTACGATACTTGCATACGAATACGAGGGAATCAATTTAAAGAGCAGATTTATAGAGAATTTGTACTCATTTAAAAGATATCTACTCGTGGATTTTAGAGAAAATAAGGGGAAGAAAATGTAGTACGAAGTGTGTACTCCTTAGGCTTACCTTCTTGATGATACGTTTGTGTTGATATTGGAAAAAGTGCTTTGACAGCAGACACAAATCCTTCCAGACATTCGCTCATCCTCAGGCCTAATGATACAGTCTGATCTATGACTCTTATTTTGGTAATACTTTTTTTTTTCTTTAATTTTAAGATACTTGTGAATCAAAACCTAATTTTACTACCCTATTCTTTAGCCTACTATTTCAATAAATGAAGGTTGCAAAACACGTAGTTACGACACACGACCATGGATTCTTTTTAACTAACCATGGCACTACATTAAGCATAGTACTAAATTCATGTGACATTATTGTATAGAATGTGTATGTCAAGTATAAATATTGTCTTGTTGTCCCTGTTTGGTAAAGTTTATGCCCGGGATTACTATTGTTATTAAATTTTTTTATACAAAATTATACATGATTGAAGTTATAATTATGAATGAGTAAAATTATTTATTTCATTATATTATAGTTTCTTTATAGTTGATTATAGTTAATATACTTAATGTGTATTAAGAAATAATTTTACTGCTCCAAAGTAATTACAAATTATTAATTTTTAAATACTTTTAGACATAAGTTAGCAGTTATTATTTTAAGTATTTTTTTTTTATTATTATCAAACATTAGACACATTTTTTATTATAAATAAAATTTACAATTAGTGGAAGAAATAAAAAAAGAAATCTGTTTATGTTAAAAGCAATATGTTAAATAAAAATGATCACATCTTTTGTTAACCATTAAAATAACGAAATTTAGTAAAGTAACAAACTTGTAGTATGTAGGTTTGTGTTAGCTGTAGATATTATGAGAAATCATATGTTATTGATTTTCAAAATATAAAGATGTTAAATTTCAATTATAACTTGTTAAGTTGTTACACATTGAGTATTCATTAATTTTCACATAAATCTAAATGCATATACTTAATCATAATAGGTGCAGAATGTACTCATTCGTGGTTTATGTTGATCAGTTGTTTATAATTTATTACTTTTACGATTGATTAACTTTTTATAGATCTTTTAATTGTATAGAAATTATCAAGGCAAACGTATTAACTCATTTGAGACTGGTTCAACCAATTTTTAAGTTGTATTATCTGTTCACTCAAATCACACATCACATCTCATTGCAACCAACACTTTTTAAAGAACAAAATAAATTGACTAACCTCTTCCTCTCGACGTGGATGGATGACTAGTAACCGGTGTAGCGCTTGATGTTGGCACCAAGTCGTTATAAGTCAATTCTTCTCTGTTATTGTAGCCACTGGATAGCGATAAATCGAACGTATTTTGTCCTTGCGATACGGCTTGAGGATTTTGTGGTGTTCGAGAACGAGTTCTTGAAGCAATACAGTCAATAACTTTTAAATTTAACTCTGGCAAACTTGTTCTTGCTGCACTACGAACTCTTGTATTATTCCCACTAATGCTATAATTTGATTGCTGAACCTTATGGTGTGGCCTCCAATCAGTATCTGAAAAATGGGATTAATATATATTTTAATATTCCAACTGAAACAAATTATACAAAATAATAATAAAAGAAATATGTTTTCCTACTTTTTATCTTAAGTCATTTGCATCAAGAAGTGGAATATTCCGCGCATATCTCAGCTGTATCATTAGCCACGAAATAATCTGCGAACACTAAGTTACTTATGTCACCAAATGTGAAGCAATTCTATAGTATAACAATTTAAAAATAGTGAAATTGTCAATAATACAGGCCAACTATTAATTGAGTATCAATCCCATAGATAATTTGAGGTGTACTTAGATTAGTCACTTGCAAATTAATCCATACATGCTGGTAAATATAACCAATCATTCTACTTCTTGATGCAAATTGGTTAATGTAATTTTATAAAGGATTTAGTGACCAATTTTTAATATGCTAAACTTATAACATTTTAACAATATATTACACATGATTGTATACAGTTTTAAAAAGAAATAATAAAAATCATAAGTTTACGAAAAGAATATTTATAATTAAAAATATTAATTACCTAGATACGATTCTAAGCCACTGCCATGACCTTTACGTTCGCCTCTTGTTCTACTTTCCGTTTTAAAAGAATCAGTCAAATGTTTATACGTGGAAGTATTATTGAAAACTTCAGATGATTCTGGATTATCAATAGCTTCTCTACGCCTTTTTTCTTCTACTGTAACTGGAAGAGAACCAGCGTTCTGTCGTTTTCTATAACCACTACTACCACTGCCAGAGCTATTCCCTCTAAGCTTAGAGGTGTCTGCTAAAGCATCGGCCGTCTCTACAGACCCCCCTGATGACAACTGATCTTGTTGATCTGCCATAGATTAATCGACTCATGCCACTATTCTGTCTGCAAAAAGAAACATTAGATAATTATTTCCTTTAACTACTCCATACAATGTAAAATAAAATTAATTTATAAAATTTCATACAAAATATATAAGATACATTCAGTTCTGAGCAAAAGTATCATAATGATTTTTTAAAAGAAACAAAATTATTATAAATAATCAAAACTTTCGTATCATGTACATTATGTAATAACAAGGCTACAATGAACAAACGTAAATTAAAATTAGAATACAAACTAAAACAATATGCCAAAGTAGGAAATAATTATAGTTTCAATGCATATTGAAATATATAATTATGCAACAAGATGGAAAAAATTAATGTAGTAAAATAAAATATTACTCCAATAATCTACAAAACACTCAAACATCAATTCATTTGTTCCAATTTCTTTGTATAAACACGAACAATGTAATTAATGCATTTACATTCAATTTCTAGAATTACGTGCACATATAATCAACGAAATAGCGAATATGTAACGAAAATATGTTTGTTATATAAAGACATGTATCTACGTTTACAAAATTAAATGTTTCCTCGAATTCTGACAAAGAAAATATATGTACCAGCTTTCGAACAATGGTATTAAAAACAAAAAACAAAAAAAGGAAAAGAAAAAAAAACAGAAAAATATACGGTTCCAACGAAATTGATTAAGAAGAAATCACTTATTATGGTTAGATACGTTAGATCAATGCGCACTCAGATAAGAAGAGCGTAACTAAATAATACAGCTGAGACGATGCGCATTTAATGTTTTCTTCGACGGTGAAAGAGATAGTAACGAACCCAAGAATCATAACAAACACTACAACTGGTGTCCGTTTATAATATCGTAGACAATGCGAAATTGTGCCGTTGACATCATACAACCCCTTCCACAAACGCTAGGATTACTCGGTTGCAACAAGGCCACGAATAGACACGATACAACGAAAGGATACAACGGAAGGCGTAAATAATTATAACAAAGAAACTTGTAAGCGAGCAAGTCCACCATTTGCTTGCGAACAAGTAATGGAGGACGAGTTCTTTCTCCATCTCTTTCTTTCGTTCAGCATCTACGCTCTCGTCACCGTGTGACCTCAGGTTGAGGTCCTCGAAAAAGAGAATCCCACTTGGGTATGCAGGTTCTTCGAGGGAGAGAGGGGAAAGGGAGAGAGAAGAGTAAGAAAGAAAGAGATAGAAGACTAAATAAAAAAAAAGAGAGAAAAAAAAAGAAGAAAGGAAAGTTAACCGATAAGATTACCTGAATGTCGGAAAAACATGCCCAGGGCATCGCGAGGAAAATGTCTTCTCGCCGATGATTTTTATGAGCACACGGTTTCTCGTTACATACGACAGAGAAATGGATTTACGCGCACGCACGTAAGTACGTTGGTGGTGAGCGGCTATGTGCACGGGCACACACCAAAAAACGCACCTAACGCACTGCCGAGGCACACTGAGGCAAATCAGCGGAATGCGACAGCTATCGGGATCGGGTTGGTTAGAATTGGGAAGCTGGAGGACGCTCCGCCCCCATCGGGAAACGTCACACACAGAGTGAACCGTAGGTGCGTTCGAAAACTCGGTGTACCCGCGTACAGCAAAATCACGGTTCATAACGCGACGCCAGATGCGAAACCGGCGTGTATGGCCATCTTGCAGCAAATTTTTTTTCAAACTCTTCTCGTTTCACCTCGTCTACGATGTAAAATTAGCCGCAAACAATTGCTCGAATATCAGCAATTCGGATATCACAATCTAAATTGTACGATTGCTGGTATTCACTAGAACATTCTTTGCCATGCATTAGTTGTATACAACAGTATTTCTCGAACTTCACCTTCCTACGCAGGAGCGTAACTGGGGATTCCGCAACGTGCGATGTTATACCTTGTTCGATACATAATACATTAATTTTAAAGGCTCGTTTAATTTGTAATAAGTAGACTGTGAATTCATATGCATTTATGATGTAAACTAATACGATAAACACATGACAAACATAACCAAAATGTATGTGCACTTATGCAAACTGAAATAATAATATTATTATATTAATTGTAGAATACATTCAACATACATTATGTATATTTTATGAATGTTATCTATATTATTGTACGTTATAAACGCATAAAATCCGCAGTCTTGTAATAAGAGTTGAAAGATTCAATGGGGCACTAGTGACTGTAGTGCCAGCCCTGGTCGTGCAAACTTGCGGGCAAACCTTCATTAAACCTCGATCAGGTATAGACCGCCTTAAGATCTTACGCCATATTGACGACAACAAAACAAAAGTTGTTTATACAAATCTTTTTACAAAACTGTTATACTTTAGATCAAAATGAATTGAAAGAATCATTAATTAACTGCAATTATGTTTGTTACGCAGTCAGGGCCCTTCAGCGCTGCACACATGCTGACAATCCTAGTTACGCTACTGTGTAACAGTGTTTCTCAAACATCACCTTACCAGGGACCCTCCATAAGGAGTTACTATGTCACATTAACAACAACAAAACAAAAGACCTTCATAAATAAACTTTTACTCGAAAATTTCCAATAGTTGTTAATAAGTTCTCATTCCTATTTATCGAGAAAGCAATTTTCAAATACTTCAGAATTTCCAAAGGAAATTTATTCTTGAAAATACGCATTTTCGTGGAATGTAGAAAACATCATTATATTATTCTTATTCCCATGTAAATTCATGCATATGCTTATGACAAATAAAAAATAGGCAAAATAACTTCAAATTTAGAGATGTTGAAAAATGCATTTTATGTTTTTCCCCTGAGAACTCGCGAGTCCATTAAGAAAACATGTTAGAGGTCTCGCAGGGATCCATGAATACAAGCTTGAGAAACACTGGCATACAAAATCGAACACGTTATATTCAACATCGTGCAACGTTACAACATGCGTAGATAAATTGTTGTTATCGTGATTTTCATTTCAAAATTGCAAATAAATGCAAATAAAAGCGATACATTACACTTTGATTGTTAACTACGTAAAAACGTGACGAGGTATAGAATAAATCATCACTATTCTTACGATGTTTTTTTTTGTACTACGCAAGTTTAAATATTTGTGTTACGTCGAATCTGTTTGGAATAAAGTAATTTAAAGACTCAAAAATATAAAACAAATTTTATCGCGTGTCATACTGTAGCGATAAAAATTTCTTTTAAAATCTTTCGTAGGTATCTACATCAGCTGTTTCGCACATATAAAATAATGTTTACCAACGATACGGTTAGATGACAGTTGTAAAGCTGACAATAATTATCATCTTTAAAGCAGATACAAAAATAATCATCAAATAATCATAGAACACTTTTCAGTTATTTCATTAATTTTTAGTCTTCTAAAAAAAAAACGTGTAAACTTTACAAATACGATGTCGTAACGTAGGCGTTAAGTTGTAGTTCTATTGTTTGATCGTGACAAGTATGTATACACGAACCACGATTGGTTGAAAACCTCATTTGATAGTGCCCAATTGGCCGATAAACTGAGGTATTTCTCAAGCTGTGTCAAAACAGCTTGCGATAAGTGATATATCTGTTAACCGTAATGAATCGTACAAATTTTCAATACACGCGTTAAATACATAATTATCAGCTGTTCTTTGGTCCTCGATTTTATTTACGAATAATCACTTACCGAAAAAGGGAGCTCCTCCCTGGAAGTTAGACTCCAGTTACGCAATGCGATGTGCGAGAGGACACGTGAAAATACGAACTATGCTGTCAAGTCGATTGGAACGTCGTCTGCTACGATATCTCGACCAAGGATTATACACGATAGAGATTGTTCGGTCGATTCAACCAAAGCACGTGTGTTCCTATATGTAGCCAAATTCTAATGTCTACTGGACTGTGATTGGTCGATGTCTGCTATTCGTTCTTCGTCGACCAATTAGCGACGAAATTAATGTCACGTTTTCATTTCATTTTATAACGTAATCTGTGGTGTAGAATAGCCTTTAGTAAATAACAATAAAAGTAACAATCATAATTTGAACATAGATACATCAAATGAGACTTTTGAATAGTAAATAGTTTACTTTACTTACTAATCTTATCCATTATATGCGTTGCCATGGTGACAGAAATACAAAGAAAAATATTTATATTTCACTTGTTCTCTATTCGAATAAACGAAGTTATTTTATTTTTCGTGTGTCGTGTTACATTTGAAAGACAAACTCTTTCTAACCGCTACAATTAAATTCATTCCAGAAGAAATTTGGCCTAAGTGTTGAGAATGGGACTCTTTCAAAAAGTTAAGTATGAACACGTGACTTATATTTAGAAACATAAAGAACAGCATAACCTATTTCTTAAGAAACAAGTAAGACTGTTTTGTTATATTAAAAAAGTTCTGTAGATTTTATTGTAAGTGTTGAATAAAGTATTTTCTTTTTATGGCTTCTTATTTATTTTTAGTAACAGAAACCTTCATGTTTGTTATACACTTATAAGAGAACTTGATAATTATTTCTCATTAATACCATACAGTAGTTGTTTCAAAGATTCTTCATTTATAGTTTGTAAAGTATTCGTAGCATTGTCTTCACTGCTAAAACTTTGTTCTACATTTGTATTAGCTACATTTATTTCCATGTCATGCGTCATGTTTCTGAAGTTGCTGTAAGGTTTCATTATATCTTGTTTTTGTGTTGGAGACGATACTCTTAAATGTTCCATTTCATTGGTAGGAGAAGATACTCCATTTTCAAGTGGAGATATCATCATTGAAAAGAAATCAGTTGTATCTTCTGGAAGTCTTTTTTCATTCTTTGAATATATTTTTTTAGAAGTTTCAAGTGGCTCTTTAAATATAGAATTATTAGGAATATTAGACTTCCATATACTTCTTGTGTTTTCATTTTCATTATCTATTTCTATACACTCTTCCAGTTTTTGTTCTTTATTTTGGGTTAGTTGTGTTTTGCTAATATTTGATTCTTTTGTTAGAAGATGCTGACCCTGAGTATCTATTATCAGTACATATTTATTTTCTTCATTATTTACAATGTTCAGCAATGGTTGATTCACCTCTAAGGGTTCTTTTTGTATTTTACACGAGTCATTACTCAAATCTTGCATGTTTGATATATGTGTTGATTGTTGATCTAAATTATTTGTTTGTTGTGTACTTCCTATCTGTTGTGCTGGACACTTATGGGTCCTTTGACTTACCTGTAGATATAAATACTTAATAAAAATGCAAAAATATTGGTCTTACAATTATGGTGTACCTTATATCTGAAGCTTTTTCCACATATCATACATTTATAGGGCATTACACCTGTGTGAATTCTACGGTGAACCAGGTATGAAACACGTTGACGGAAACATTTTCCTAAAATACAAATATTATTAAAAATGTTTCAATTTTTGTCCCTGTATTTAGTTGTATCCTTATAACACATACAAAATTATAATCTTTAGTATACACATAATTTCAATTGGTATTATACAAAATAAAAATGTTCAGACTTTCACTGATGTTCATACTATTATTAAAGTAGCTTTCATATATATATGGTCAACAATACAAATATAGTGATCTTATTAAGTCAGTTTTGATAGGCTATAAAACAATACCCTTGTTGGGTGCAAGCTGCTAAATGAGTTTTTCCCAACTGGGTAATAGTAGTCTGTTGGCTACAGGCCTGTGTTTACTGCTTGCTGTTCATAATGTCTGTCGGTTTTGGAACACTCAGGACCTGAAAGTTATAGCACCCAAAGAGAACCTTTCAAGTCAATCCTGAATTACTGGTGCACTAGATCCTCCAAAGTCACTATATTTGTACCTTCGACTGTAAGCTGTATCTATACAATAGTAATAGTCACAAAAATGATTATACATACATTGCAGAAACAGAGCAATCCATGTTAAATTGTTAGTAGCAACTGAAAACAAAACATGCATTACTCTAAGATTTTTTAAGTGTTTGTTAAATGAAATCTTTATAAAAATCGACATACCACAAGTTTCACATGCAAAAGGTTTTTCTCCTGTATGAATTCTTTCATGGTTATGCAAAGTAGATAACTCTTTAAATGACCTGCCACAAGTTGCACATGTATGTGGTTTATCATCCTTATGATATAATCTATGTTTATGATAAGATTGTTGAAATGTGAATGTTTTATTACATATATTACATTTATAAGGCATTTCTCCCGAATGCAATCTCTTATGTTTTTTTAAAAAATATTTTGTTGTGAACATTTTACTGCACACATCGCATTCCCATTGTTTAGCTTCATGTGTTTTTAAATGCTGTATTACATGTTGTTCCTACAATAATAAATGTAATTTATTTTAACAGACATTGTATGAAAATAATTTAGTTACCTTTTTAAATGTCTTTCCACATGTAGGGCAATTATATTTATTTTCATTAAATATAAGTTCTACTTGTCCACCTTTAGCCAATGAACCTAAAAACATTTTCTTATTAACATATGTCAAGTTGTGTAGGTTTAACATAATATAAATAAATTACCCAGATTATACCCCATATGTGCTACTCTCATGTGAACCATTAGACTACCCCTCATTTTAAATACTTTCGAGCATAAATGACATGAATAATCCTTCAGAAAGTTTTCAGGAATGACATTCAAATCTTTTTCATTGATCATATGTACTAACTGTTTGTGTAAAAGCAAAATATTATAGTCAGGAAGATGGAAACCACATATATTGCAACGTTCAGTCTTTTCTTTTGTTGATAATGTTCTAAAAAGTTTTAACTGGGGCAGTGTCTGTTCATCCTTAAGATTTTCATCTTGTTTTCCATTGCATATAGTAGATGAATTATCTTGGACATTTTTTGCATTATTATGTTTTTCCAGTGACATATTACTATAAGTTGTTGTAATACTTGGAAATTTATTCAACATAGTAATTTGTTTATTGTAGTTTTGTTTATTGTTACAAGGCTCTTTGTTTTCCATAAATCTTTCTAGTGTGTTTACATTTTCGTTTGTAGAAATTTGTTGTTCACACTGTTGATCTTGTATCCAATTTTTAATGGTTTGAATACTTTCATATTCTTTTTGAGTGTGATTTGGTATCAAATTTACATGCTTAATATTACTAGTTGTACAATACTGTGTGGCATAATTTAATTTTATCGTGCCTTGCAATATTTCCTGTGAATTTTTATCTACTTTTGATATTCTTTTGTTCTCTGGATTCTTATGAATTGTGTTTACTTCTTCATTGTCACAAAGTGAATCTGTTAAAAATGAAACTTGAGGTGCATGGTTCAGAGGTAAATTTTGATCTTGAATGCAAACTCCTGAATTTAAAATTGAAACTTCGTCTTTTGTTGTTTGTAAGTTCTTACAGGATTTTGAACTGTTTTGGATATTCAAGTTATTTTCTAAAAGTTTATTCTCATCTGTAATTAATACCTTAGATATATTCCAATCTTGATATCCAGTATTTTGTAGATTATGTACTGTTGGTGGATTATTATTGCTGGTGGCAATATTTGCATGTTTTGAGGAGTCTATTGTATTTTCACAATTTAAATTAATAGTGTGACTGAACAAATGAATCGTTAATTTATCGATACCAAGTAATATTTCATTACATACTGGACATGTAAGAGGCCGAGTTGCTACACTTATTAATCCTGTTCGTAATGCATCCAATGTTAAGAAACCTGGCTGTGAGCACAAAGGACACTCTAATAGTCGTGCACACATATTTTTTATTAACTTTTTATTTACAATATATATTGCACGAAACATTAACTATTTAATATAATGTAACTTCATGTTATTTTTATTTTTTTTTAAAGCACCACAATTGTATAGAGAATATTTAATAACATCAGAAAGTGAAACTTTTATCAAAACTTGGCATTAACTGTTGAAGTATAGAGTTTACAAGGTACGTGTTTAAACTAACTGGTCAGTTTAAATTTAACATTGTAATCTATAATGTTATTGGGGTTATGCTTGAACTTGACCCAATAGCACAAATTAGAGATCAAAATGATACCTCACATGTCAGTAATTGAAAAAAGAGAAACTGAACGAAGAGAAACATTTCTAATTTAAAACACACAGAATAGAACAAAGATTCACATCTGAAAATCTAATTATAGAATGAGGATTTCAGATATTTATCCGGGATTCCTTTGATTCTATGTGGAGTGTAGGTGACGATCTTGAAGCTATATTTAGAAAAGGGGCGGGACATTTAAGGAGAAAGCTTGGGAGAAGCAAGAGTACGTTTATTAAATAAAAATAATATTGAATTGATCAATTTATAAAAAATAAAAAACATTACAAGAAATAGGTCACAATTGTTTTAATACATCGGGCATTTGTACGGTGCTCCATTCTTGCAACAGTATTCCCTTCCAGCTGACAGATTTGTATTAATCCACTTACTTTTACAGTTCTTAATAAATAGGTAAGCCTATTGCAAAAGAATATTGATTTACATAAAAACATAAACAGCACTTTTTATAAATAAAACACTTACTCTTTCTTTATAGCAGTCACGTTCTAGTGAACCACATATTATTGTAGAACTGTTTGGAAGATACTTGAGAATCTGTAATAAATTTTTACACTGTTTGTGAATTCAATATCATGTCATAAATTTAAATAAAAACATCTTTTTATAAACTGACTTACAGTGTCCAAACATTTATTTATGCAAAGCCTTTTTCCATTTGGAGTACATGAAAATGTTCCACATTGATCATGAATAAGGACAGGGTTTTCTGCTGGTGATTCTTTACTGCTCTTTTTAAATTGTCCATTCAAAAAGATTCCACAAATACAACCAATTGGAGATTCAGTTGTTGTAACATCAAGAGTACTGTTTAAAGCTTTTAGTTTAATTTCATTTGCAAATACAGATGAGAAGCAAAGGATTGATAATAAATATATGAAATACATTTTTTTCTGTAAAAAAAGAAAATATTTTTGTAGTAATAAATTACATTTCTAATGTATTATCTGTTTTAAATATAAAATGTTTATTTTAAATAGTTGAATGTTACTTACAATGACCAAGTTAAATGAATTTTCTGCAAAAACTCCAATGGAAGTTAGCAAGTGACTGCTGGTTTTATTAATGATGCGTTGTTTTACTGTGTCAGCAATTAAAATAGGTCAAAACATTTATGCATGTTAAGCATTATTTCATAATACTGTAATGCTGCTGTCTTTTTAGAAAGAGATTTACATCATTTTTATTCGTGTAATATGCACACAATCTTAAAATGCAAACGAATACATATAATAAAAATATTGCTTTTTGAAATAATAACTACCATTTTCATAATATCTCATGCCCTTGTTTCATGACTTTTTTATGAGTTTTGCATCTCCCTTTAGAACTATCTTTTCTCCATTTGCAATACAGGTATATTCACATTTAATTATTTTTCTTACTGAAACAATCTGCACTTTTATTTCTATTTTATCCCCTGCATAACATGGCTTTGGATACGTAAGATTTTGTTGAACTACTATGGTTCCTGGACCAGGTATTTTTGTACCAATTACTCCTGATACCAAGCCATTGAGAAGAGCACCATGGACAAGGTTGTTTGAGGAACCCATATGTACTGGATTATAATCTCCAGTTAATTTAGCAAAATTCAATATATCATCATTTGTAATTGTTTTGTAAACTGAAACCTCATTTGTTGTTCTTATATTTCTTAAAACAGTTGATTTGTTCATCAAGTCAGAAACTCCTGTACAATATTTCTTTAAAAATTCAAAAAATGTCTTTGTCAGCTTCATTTTACTTTTAATGTAAATGTTACTGTACAATATTCTGGGATATTAATTTATATATTTTCTGTACTTTCGATTTCAGCTTTTGCTTTGTTATAGTCATTCAAAAATACTGTTGCTAAATTTTGTATGCGATTACTTTCGTGTTTCGCAAGATCAGTGATTTTCTCAAATGTTTCAATTGTTATTTGATCCTTGTATTCGTGTACACTTAAAAATATTAAACTAGTAATTGTTGAAAGTATGATATCTTCGTCTTGCGAACAAAGCAAAGATGTCAATAATTTAACGCCGTGATTACGTAAAATGTACAACTTGTTTATTGGATCTAAAATTTGATTATAATTTCGTTCGATTATTACGACCGTCATTTTTTTTCGAATTAACCTAACCTCTTTTCGAAACGTACTTACCAGTGGATAGATTACAAATACCTCCCGCTGCGAAACGTACCAATTTAACATTATCTTCCGACAAAGTATGAAGAAACAAATCAATTATTTGAAGTTGCCTTATATATCCGTAATTAATAGGATCATACGAGAAATTGGCAAGGTTCGCTAATACCTGCTCTTTCCCTTCTATGACAAAAAATTCTACGATATAAAATAATAATTTTACAATTTCTTTCTTATACAATTTACCTTTCGATTTAGTAGTCTTAAATTCCGTAGCGAGAAGTTTCAAAAAATCATAACGACCGATGGGATTTTTTCCAGTGCGTTTTATTAATTGCTCCTTAGTAGAGAACATTAGTAAACTAACTCTTTATTATATTATTCGGTATATTACGTCACTATCGTTCCTATTTGATACATAGTAATTATTTCAATTTGTTTTGCCACTTTGAAATTGTAATTCGTCCGAGAAAATGGCGTACGTCTCGATTTCGTCGTATTGTTACGTTTATGGATTAATCGAATTATACATGTTATAATTATTAAATATCTCCCAAATTAACGCAAACAATTATATTTCGAAATGTCTTTCATGAGCCATGGTACAAACGGGAAATGTTAATTTCGGAGCGTAGGGTTAGTCAATCAATTAACGACAGGGCAGATTAACCGGATAACACATTCACAAGAAGATAAGACTGCGTATTATGTCACGATTCACAAAGTATGCAAGGTTATGTCGCTTTCCAATCCCGGCATGGCATGTTTCCTGCGCACGCATTTATACTGATAGCATAAATCGTAATCAACAATCTGAACTATATTCGACGACAATAATTGTTTTTTTAATGTTTAAGCATTTAAATACTCTGTCAAATTATTTACGGAAATAGTAAATCTCATCTTACCGTAAGATACGGACTGCGGGTTATTCTCCCTGAAGAGAGGTTAGCTTAAGCATGGAAATGGACCCCGTTTGAGTGTAACGGAATGAATAAACAGATTATCAAAATGAATGCGTCTGTAAAATATCTGAAGTACAAATTACGTAAAATATGTCATCGTTTTTTACATGTTGAGACTGAACAGAAAAGACCGGTACAGTGGTGGAAGCCTGTCGGATACGAAACAAATATTACAATATACAATCCTATAACAAAATGTAACGAACCGTTAATTTTGAAAAATAAAAATGTTTTGACTTGGTATATTTGCGGTCCAACTGTCTATGATTCTGCACATATTGGACATGCTACGTAAGACATTTTAGGGATTGGTAATTTTGATATGTAAAATTTGTAGCAAATAAAAATATTATTTTTTTACTCATAGTAAAGTCAGATCATTAGATCATTATACTATTAAAAGAATTCAGTTTTAATACATATTTTTCTGTAGGACTTACGTGAGGTCAGATATTATTAGAAGAATATTGTCAGATCACTTTAAAATAAATGTTGTAATGGCCATGGGCATAACAGATATAGATAATAAAATAATAATGCGTTCAAAAGAAACTAATCAAAGTTGCAAAGAACTAGCACAACATTATGAAAATGAATTTATCGAAGATATGGATACATTGAATGTTGTTAGACCACATTTATATTGTAGAGTTACTGATTTCATACCACAAATTATTCAATTTGTCAGTAATATTGTAGAGAAAGGCAAAGCTTATGTTGCAGAAGATGGTAATAAAATATAATATGGAGAATACTGCTTTGATAATAGTGTGTTACTTCAATTTTAAGTGGTTACAAATGATCATTTCTTAATTGTAGGGTCTGTATATTTCAATACAAGCAAATATGATATGTATGGGAAGTTAATGACTCCTCCATTGCCTGACAGTACTCATCCTGAAAAAAAGTCTGCATTAGATTTTAGCTTGTGGAAAGCAGCTAAAAATGAACCATTTTGGAAATCTCCATGGGGCAATGGAAGGCCAGGATGGCATATAGAATGTAGCACAATTGCAAGGTAATATGCATCTTTAAGTCACAAATATCTTTGCATTATAAGAATACGAAATTAAAATACCAAATTTTCATGTAAATGAATATGTTACAATTAGCACAGTTTTTGGAAATTCTCTGGATATTCATAGTGGTGGGGCAGATCTCGTTTTTCCGCATCATGAAAATGAAGAAGCACAATCGTGTTCGTATCACGAAGTTGATCAGTGGGTAAACTATTGGCTACATTGTGGGCATTTATTCCTAGATGATGTAAAAATGTCGAAAAGCCTAAAAAATACAATTAGTATAAGAGAGTTTCTTAACAAGTATACTGCAAACCAGTTTAGGATGTTCTGTCTACTTTACAATTATAGAAATGGTATATTTTATGCTTTTAAAAATTTCTAAAGCAATGAACAATTTTAAGTTGAATACAAATATTATAATAAATTACTTTCTTATATGATTTTTAGGAATTAAATTTTCCGATGAAGTGATGCTTAATGCAGTAAATTTCCTGAATAAAGCTGAACATTTCATTTGTGATTGTGATAATTATATTGCTGGAAGATGTAGTGTTGGGAATGTGGATGAAGTTGCATTATTTCGTGTAGGTTGCATTGTTAATTTATATATACAATGTGTATTATATAATTAAAATAACAATTTTGTTTTAGTGTTTGGATGAAACTAAGAACACTATTAATATAGCCTTGGCAAATAATTTTAATACCGTACTAGCGTTACGATCGATCGAGAAACTAATCGATACAGGAAATTTAATGTTACATGATTCCCATGTAAGTATAAACAAATATGACTCTTCATTAATATTTTATTCATAGTATTTCCGCTATGTTTACTAATGAGATTAATATTAATTCTGCTTCATAAAATATAGGAATCTACAAATAGGTCTATACCTCCTGTAGCTGCAGTTGCAAATTATATATCATCAGTATTTTCAATGCTTGGCATTCAAAATTCTGAAATGTCATCTGAACATAAAATGAATAGCGTCATTGAACATCTCGTAAAATTCAGAACGATAGTTAGAAATAGAGCTATAGAACAGAATGTAAAAGATAAAATCTTACTTACCGCATGCGATAAAGTGCGATTAAACCTTTCCACGTTTGGAGTAATTATAAAGGTATGATACTAAAATATTCAACTTTGAAATTATATTTTTCATATGTCTGCGATTATAGTTTCGATTTTATTTTTAGGATCACAAGAAGGAAACCTCTTGGAGTATTAAGAAATATTGAATTAAAAAGACAGAAAGGAATTTGTATTGTAAATTGTTGTCTTAAATAAAAAAATGTTTATATATACATTTAATCTTGAACTTAATTAATCAGATGAACCCATAACATTCTTTGATTTTTTAAAATTACTATCATTCGTTTCATCAACATTTTTTCTTTTAATACCAGCTTTCTTTTCAGCTATTGTCTTTTTTAACCCTTTCATTTTTCTTGTTTGAATACTATTAATATTCTGTGCCCCGACATGTATACGCCCAAAGGTTGTTCCAAGATTATCCTTGGAAATATTCTTCTTCTTTTTGACCTATGACATTGAATAAATGAATTAAATCAAATTGACAAATCATTGTATTATACTTGAATAATAAAAGTGTTACCTTCAATTCTTTTGGTTTTTTACATGCTCTCTTAAAGAGATCTTCAGAAGCAAGCTTTGTACGTCTACGCAATAAATCTGCTCTTGGACCTATTTCTTCTAATTCAATTCTTGGTGTTCTACAGTCAGATTTTTTTAAAAGTATCCTAGAACACAATTCCACTAAATAAATAATTATTAAACATGAGAGTATTCAAGAAAATCAGTAGAAAAATGACTCACCTATAACTACGTAAAAGTATTTTATTTTCAACAGCAGTGAAACTCAAGACATGTTCAAGGCCTTGTAGCTGAATGTTTTCAGCTGCTTCTCTTTGGAACATATCCACAAATAAATTCTTTATTCTAACAAGCTCGTAATTATTTTCAAAAAGTTCACCATTGAAAACTAACAGAGGCTTTATCCCCTCAGAAATTTTTGGAACTTTAAAATCCTTTAAACCTTTGTAATTTTCTATACCAAACTCTGCCATATCTAATAACGTATGCTCGTACATTCTACCCAATACCAAATTATGAGGTCGTTTTTTATTATGTAAAGCTACCATGAAAAGAGACGCGTTAGTTTTAGTAGAAAACTTTTCAATGAGAGTCACATCTTCGAATGGCAATATATCATTTTTCTTTTGCATCAATGCAGCATTTGGTTTTTTAAAATCATACTGTAGAAGAGCATAAATTTTGTCAAATGTTATTGTAAAATATAATTTTTAATTAATATTACACACTTCAATTACCAGATCTTTCATGAGGTCTACTACAATCTGAGAAGTGTTCTTTCCTTTGAAGCATAGAGTCTGCTTGGCATCTTCTATTAATTTAGGCTCTTTTTTTAAAATAGCTCGCTTACCTCTATGAGTGGTGGGTTTGCTACAAAAAGAAATTCAAAACACAAAATACGTAAAACACTTTTCTGTTAAAATGAGAAAACACTTATATGTATTTACATACTATCAAGTACGCATGCATGAAACATAACCTAAACCTGTCATACGCGTATAAGTTAAAAGTACTCACACTACTCTACTTATTACAGGCATTGTCAGTTCAATTACAAACACTGCCTTCCTTTAAATGGTAAAAGTATTAAAATTTATGGACATTTATCGTTGAAGATCCAAGCATTGCTCTGTGCACGTGTTTCACTGTTTAGTAAAACCACACCATCAACATGAACTGGAGGGGGGATTATCACGCATGCGTGACAACAATTTGACAACTATATTTGAAAAACATGTATGTATTTCTAATTAGGGCTGGGATTATGTATTGAGTTTTTTTATTTAAAAAATATTACAAACTAAAACAATGTAATATCAGGTATTCACTGGATCAGTTCCTGCCTGTCCTTCCATGTATGCTCTTGTAACAATGCATTTTGTCATATGACAATAACAAGGAACGTCATGTTCAACTTCTAATGCATCCAGCAATATTAATTCTATGTTGTATTGTCTAGGTTTACATGAATTTCTTTTTAAATTTAATTTAAATGCGACAGATTCACCTTCTTCAACGTCTACATCCATTGGTAAAACAATGGCAGTTTGTTTCCAATGTGTGGCTTCGTCAAAAGGACTTGTAGATAATTCAGAACCATCTGGAAACTCTACAGAAAACCAAATACAAATTCCTTGATACTTTCCACTTTTATTGCAAACAGAAACATTCTCTTCCCCTCCAAGATGATTTAATTCTTCCACACTGATGCACTGTAAATCTAGCCATGCTAACAATTTACCTTCTGCTAAAACGTTCTTTTTATCTACAAGTAGTATCTCCGGTTTCATTGATTTTTCTTTTGTGTAATGCTCTCCAATACACCTATAACACAATAAATTTAAGGATAATAAATATAACAATAAAATAAAATGTATGAGCTACAATAATAAAATGTCATTACTTCATGGAAACTCCATAAATATCATCCCAAAAGTGATACATAGATGGTAATTCACACGGTGATGCATACAATTTAGCAACAGATGGAAATAAAATGCCATTTTCCTTCAAGAAATTATCTCTTGCAAAGAGAACTGTATCTAACATTCCTTCATGTACTAAATAAAAACCCATCCACTCTGAAACAATTATATCAACTTTCTCAAAGTTATTTGGGTCAATGTCTTCCACTTTACTGTGAATCGTTGTAATCTTTTCATACAGTCCATTTTCTATCACAACTCCTTGGGTAAGATCTACTATGTCGCTTGCTTCTATTGCGTAAACTTTTTTGGCACCTGCTTGTGCACAGAAGATTGATAATATCCCTGAAAATGTACAGTATTTTTAAGATTACTCAGTTAGATTTGATTATTTTAATTAAATAAATTACAAGATCCTACCAGTTCCAGCACCAACATCCATAACAACTTTATTATTAAATATATGTTTAGAATTCATTATAGCATTTTTATAAGCAAGAGTTCGAGCCTTATCGCTCAACATTAGTTGATGAACCTGTATGCATAATTATAAACAATTATGTTTTTACATATAATTATATTAAATAATAAATATTTACATACATCCAGTGTTTCGTAACTTTTAAAATATTCATCCATGTTATTAGTTTATTTAGTGGCAGTTTATTATTTACTGTAATTCATAGTAAATAAACATATAATTATTGAAACTAAATGTTTTATTTTCTTCTCCTATTTCACGGAGTTCCTAACCTCGATCTATAGTAAACATTCGTAACACGTGCTTGACGTTCGTCATTAATGGTTTTAAATCATTACAAAAATGATACGTTTCTGTATGAATTAAATGTATATTTGTAATATTTATTTTATAAAAATGTACAAAATTAATATAATTAGCTTCTTAGACTCTTCTTCTATTCTACACATGTACAAATATATTTATCTTATGAATTAAATCTAGAAATAGATTGTTTATTTTCAACAGCCTTTTGTAGTTCCCTTTCCTTCATTAATCTTTTGTATTCTGCTTGCTTCTCCATCTGTTTTCGCTTCCGTTCTAATCGTGATAATTCCACTTCGGATAACACTAAAATTTTTTTTTAATATTACATTTTCTATTATTATCTCTTTTAAGATGTTTACCTTTCTTCTGAGTTTGTTCCTTCTGATTGTTAAGTTGTACTGTTTGAGCACTTAAAACAGTATTTTCTTGTCTCTCTGTTTGCTTCTTAGATTGAACCACTGTTGTTTGCAATAATATTTGCTTTCCGTTATCATTCTGGCTTGTGGGACATGGTATATTTTCTAAGAAACACCTGACATTAGAAATTTTGCTAAAATTATATTGATAAAATATTTTGCAAGCACCTGGATTGTCTTTTTCTTCGTTATCCTTATGACTTAGAAGGGGAGTTGATTGAGCACATGGTTTAAACTTATCAGTTTTTAAATCATCTATAGAACACACATCTTCTTTTCTAATAGTTTGTATCACTGAATTAGACGACCTTTTTATCAAATTTTGAATTTCAGATTCTATTGTTTTACCAAAGCATGATAATACTTTTTTAAAAGCATCTGTTAAAGAACCCTATACATAAAAGTACAAACATCATTTTCAAGTCTTAAACAAATATGAAATATTGAAAAAATGAACATACAATTCTAGCCATATGTATAGATAATCCTTTTGAAGTTTCCTCTGCAAGATAATATCCCATATCTTCATGAAATGTTCCATCTTGCAATTGAATCTTAACAAATGTCACACATCCACAAGTATATTTACTCATAAAAGTTTCAACAAAATCTAAAATCGATTAAGTTTGTTAAAATTAAATAAAAAACGGTTAGTAAATAAACAAGTGCAAGGATACATACCAATTGATTGATTTGTTACAGTATGATTCCATTTTCCTTCTCCAAATATTTGATTCGCTAGAGATATCAATTCATTGTTAAATGTCACTGCTTCTTTTATATTAAACTTGCGGTCAGTCGTTTCATTTGTCACACTATGTTTTAAATTTGTGGATGGCTAAAAAAACAGTAACTTTTCATGTGATTTGCATTCAATTCAACCAATCAAGTCTTGTAAAACTGTTTGTCAGGAGTGAAATACTTACAATTTTTATACAAGAAGGATAACTGGTTCCATTGTTCATGGTAAATTGTTAAAAACAAGAAGCTTTGCAACTGTGTAACAAGTGTTTCAAAAAAGTAAACACTAGTGAAACAGGAAAGCCGGCATTTCGCAATCATGCGCAGTAATTTACTGTAATAGAATTAGTATGCTATTTTTATTCTAATACTAATGCTTTAATATTAATTAATCAAAGGAATTCAGTATTTTATTTACTTACATCATTTTATGTTGCTATCAGATTAAAAAAAAAAAAAAAAAAAAAAATGTGAGAATATACAGAAGTATATTTATATATAAATTAGGCGCGTTAACGGGGCAATAGTTGGTATCGCAATCTTGCGGTGAACAGCCCGAACTAAATTACAAATTCCCTAGGGAATATGTAGGGATACTACTGTAGTAACTTCATGTTTTTGAAGATAAACGTATTATACCTCGTATCCACATTTGAACCAAAGATTTCTTTGATTTGAAGATTGAGATTGAAATACTACGAGATTTAAATTTCTTACGTGACGATTCGTCAATTGAAAAGAACATAATTCTTAAGGCTGCATCTTTGCGGAGGGAAAATCAACGTTCGCATACATTCCTTATTGTCGTACGTTTTTGTAAGTTACAAATTTATACAAATGTTGCGCTACCTTCGTTTGGTAACCCTCTAGCTAGAAATGCGTCAGTACGCTTTGCTCTAGAAAGGTGATTCACCGAAGCGTAACGTTACGTTTGTGTGGGTAAGTCACGATTTCAATGTAAATGTCAGCGAACATGACTAAAACGTACTATCGATAAAAGATCATTGACGTAATAGCGTTGTGCCAGACAGCAGAAAGTAAGAAGCTGTTTAGGAAAAGCCTCTGAAGCCAATCAAAAGTTTATTAATATTCCCCATTCCACAATTGACCACGCGGCGATTCGGCATATAAGAAGCATAATATTATGACGAAAGTAGAACGATATATCTACCTGTAAAAATCGCAGATGAAAATAAAAAGAAATTCGAAGCACATCTCGTTTTATTTAATTCACAGTTACAAGGCTCAGGTGTAAATTTATTTATAACTAATCGATTGGTGTAATAAAATACTATCATTTACATATATATTTCCAGACCCGTTGACTTCCGATTTCAGTCGTGAACGCACCTGTACACGAAAGAGAAAATGTATAAATCGGAGGTAGTTGTAATCAATTATATTTTTAATTGATTTTTATTTACAAGAAATTATAAAAAATTAATTTGACCATTGTCTTTTTGCAGTTGCAATATCGAAGTATCTGATGGAATATTAATTGAAAATTTCTGCATCCGAGAAACGTCTAATTAAACATTACCGTTTCATGACTCTCATCCGCCTAAAGTTCTCCAGTCGTCTTTTGTTCCTGTTGGCATTGGCTTTCGCTTCGGTGGCGGCAGCGTTCGCTTTGGCTGCCGCTCGATTAGTATTGGTGAGTTCCTGTCGGGCGAGTCTCAACTGATTAGACAGTTCCTCCACTCTTCTCTTCGCTGCTTCTAACAGTTCCTCTTTCTCTCTTAGGCTCTTCTGTGCTCCGTTTGCGGCAGCCTGGGCATTCGCCGCGTTCGCCTTGGCTGTTTGCATTGCATGCGTTAATGTCTTCAACTGCATCGCAACCAATGAAACAGAATTGTAAGGTGAATTGCGTCTACGTATCCTGTGAGAAATTATCGTTGAAACCTTACGAGGTCAAGTCCTACGCATAACAATAATAGAACGATACACGAAGGAAACGGAACTCTCTTAACGATCGTGTATCGTTTCTACATATTTTTTATTTATTTTTAGTACTTCGTGTCGTTAATTATACTATAACTGTACGTTCTATTATATTTCTCTTTAAATATTACGGTATAAAAATCTACAATTTGTTATGAGATTTCTAAACTTGTTTGGCTCAACTTTGAAACATCTCGAAAGTATCTAGGATGGTAATTGTAATTAATCTTTTTAAATGAATTCTTTTTAGTAATATGATTTTTTAATGAAGAATGAATGCACGGATAAAGTCACCTGATCCTGTGATTGGCGTGCCGCCTGTATCGCAGAGTTGACATTGGCTTGCTCCCGTTCGAAAGACGAGGACTCTTCTTGAACGACCGATTGAGCTTCCTTTACTTCCTCTTGTAATTGTTGTACTATCATCTTTTTCGTTGTGAGAGCTGCTTCGGCAGCTTTCGCAGCTTGCACTGCTTTCTCAGCCAACTGCGTCTTCACCTGTGGGACCAAACACATTTATCCTAATTTAAAAATGAAAAATCTTTTGAATCGATAATAAAGTATTTGAAAAATTTAAGTAGAACATTAACGAGTGTTTATCGTTTAAAAATGACTCCCACTCTTATTTAAATATTTTCAAATATTTCAAATTCTTAGTAATCGATCTATCGTAAGCTATACATATAAGGAATATTGGACAGAAACGAGTACTTGACGTGCAGCTTGCTGACCAGCGATATTCTGAGCATCCGAAGCAGCTTTGGCTTCCTGCGCGGCTTTCTGCGCGATCACGCTACTTTTTTCGGGTCCTTTCTTTTCGTTACTCGGCGTCCCATTACGGCAAGTACGTCCATTTTCGACGTAACGAACCTCTCTTTGATTCTAAGAGAATGTTCAAGTAACACGCATAATCTCTAAACAAAATTTCTAACGTTCTCGTAAATAAAAACTTGCAAGAAATTTAAGTTACTTTTATATAGAACATTGTAAGAGATCCGTGTAAATTTTAAATGTAACGCCAACAGTATACGTAAAGAATGTAATGTAACATATGCTAATTAGCAATGTATTAACGCAAAACTCTATGATAATCGATAAAATTGCAGTTACAGGTTATCGACGAATGTTTCGCGGAAAAAGAGTGTATGGCAGTATAACAGTGGGATAAATGGCCGATTAAAAGTAAAATTAGACTCACTATATCGACTGGAACCTTGTGAAACCTTTCGCAACCGAGGTATTCGAACGTCAGCATTACTAAAATGTTGCATTTGCTTGGTTATAAAGGGAAAATTAATTGTCATTTCACTGGTGCTCACCCATATAAAGGACGTAGAGGAGGTACATGCTTGGAGATTTAAGTTAACGACGGATTGTAATTCGTATAAATCATCATATAGAAAGATAGGAAATTGAGAGTACTTAATACGTCGCGAGAACGTACATTCACGCGAGAAACGGATGAAACACGGCTCTATCGAATTTTACGTATCGAAATTCACATGATCGTGCGGTATTAGATTCAATATTTATACGTATATATGTATGTAGATTCGATATGCATCGAACATTTTAATAACAGACATTTGTTCGATCGATAATCGAAAGATTATACATATTTACTTGTTATTAATATTGTCCTTCTTCCTATACCGATTTACGCTACTAATATAATATACAAGTCCATTTACACAGAGTTTACAACGATACAGTTATGTATGCCTGTGTCGTTACTACGAAATTGTAACAACAATGACATTATAACAATTATTAATCTTAATCAGACTTTATATTTGATAAATGATCGACTGATTTCCTTGGGAAATAAAAATAAAACTCTCTTTACATTTGTATCTTATAAGGTAGAAAAAAAAAAATGGAAGCGGCCCAAAGTTGTCGGTAATGTCCTCAACCCCTTCCGCAACTACCACGAGCTTAGAGTACAGCTATAAGAAGTCCAATGGTCAAGTAACTGGTATCAGTTCTTAGTTGTACCCTTGAGCAAAGACAACACTGCAGAGATCCTTTATACCGCTGTACCTGGAACCGTTTCGCTATACGTGAGTATTAACATTTCTTTGACAACATATCTAACAGATATTCAAACCTCACCTTAGTTTAAAATAATGCGGTGTGAAATAACTGATATATTCATTATTTTTTTAAATTTTTGGCTCAGATCATTTTTATAAATATGCGTTCATTTAATGTTAATCGTTCCTTTTCTTCAAAGTGTACAGCTCTAATCCAAACCGATGATGAGAAAATTGCTGAAAATACCTAAAATGCCTTAAAATGTTACCATTTTTAACGCAAAATTGTAAATGGTACACACACACTTTCTGATCAATTGAACAAGATATTGTTTCTGGAAACAATTTTTCCAAGTACTTTGTACACATTGAAATATTTTGATGTCACGAAGTGTTCGTTAATTTAAATTTAATATACGTTAATTAAATAAATTAAACGTTTAACTTCTTTGTTACCAAGGCTGTAATAGCAACAAATGGTGGTGAATAATTATAGTGGAATTTCTGCTGGAAGTGTCTGGGTTAGTGGTATCCTGTTTGGAAGGGGCCAAGTACAAAAATTCGTGATAAATATACAATATACTTTCACTTGCGCACAGTAGAGTGCAGTTTATGTGGTGAACGTGGCGGTAACTTCCAGAATGAAGTTGCACGCCCTCCAATTTTCTGGCCTAGACTGGTCGCCTTAATAGCGCATAACACAGAAACATTATCCACGTTATACACGGTTACCGAGAAAAGTAGCTCACATCATACTCGTAATTTCATATGTAATAATTTCATATTTAATAATTAATTTATATTGTTGCTCAATTGTACGTAAGTAGGAAACATAATAATCTAAGAATGCACGATGAGTACTGCAATAATGATATTTAATTTTGATTAAGCATTCAAAATTAAATTATAGTTTGTTCTGTTACATAAACTTTTAGAATGATTACAGTAAGTTCCAATTCCTTTGTAATTATTTATTTTCAATTTGGTTGATATGAGATATCGACAATGTTGCCGATGGAGGCTACTGATATGAAGGTAACAATGATGCTTGGGCAATATTACTCACGTTTCAAGCATTTACTGGGAAAGCCAATCCCTTGACATATAATCGCAGTCTCAAAAAATTCCTAATGGAATGCGCACGAATGTAGGATACGGTAGATGAATCTACATTTACGTTAACTAATACCCTCTGTCGCGTGTATAGCGGAACACTTAAAGTTTTCTTTTTTTTTCTCAGGATTTCTCTCAGGAATGCGTTTCTCGTTTCCACATCTCGGCAGAACAGTTTAAAATTTATTACACCTGGAGTCAGACCATTGCCAAGAGTTTCAAAAGAACAGACGCTTGCGACAATAGTATCAATTTTCATTTCGATTTTCTTCGATTATTCTAATTGAAGATATTATTCTAATTATTCGAATGTTAATCTCAAACCGAAAAGTGAGTCAAGATCAACCTCTTCGGGGACGATTTGTTGTTATCAAATTTTTGTTCTTTTTATTATTGACAGTAATTATAACTGTAAAGAAAAAACTAAACGTCCATATACGTGGCCAAGGGCGTGAAAAGGTTAAACGTGTTGTTATATTTTGTTTTAAACAAAGGTGTTTACAGTATGTTAACGTGTCCGTACAATGAAATGATCGCGCAAACAAAATCTGTCTAGAACGGTTCAATTATGCGCTCACGTACGCGCGCTGCTTTCTAGAGCGTAACGAAACTGGACTTTTGGTTTTAAATTGCGTCAGAGTTGGACTGGACAGGCGGCGTGTGCGTCATGAATGGTTTATGTCATTCAGGAATTTCATAAAACGACACGCAACCGATAATTTGCAAAGTTTACGTCTTTGGTTCGTCCTATTAGACGAGAACATTACTTCGTTTATTCGATTAGACGAGTCGCAACGGAATCGATTGAAAGTTATCGAAACTTCGCTTTACGGAATGAGTCATACGTCTGATTGTGAGCTTGATTATGGCTTTCTCCTCGGCGACGATGATATCGATGAAACTGTACCCTAAGTAACAAACGGATCAAACAATTATAATAATAACGATTATAAATGAGATCGTCACTTCATATAACTTGAGTAAAATCGCGTTAAAATTAAATAAGAAGATAAATAATAAGTTAAATAATAAAATTATACTACGAGAAATATTTGACGCGTAATTAGAATTGTACAAATAGGTCGATACGCTGCAAGAAATTTCTCTGACGAATACCAACCGCGTCCATGACCTTGACCTTGGGACGCGTTGAGTAGTATCCAATCTAAACCTATCCGAAACATCGGAAGCGAAAATATTCGCACTCGTTTAACATTAAATATTCTACGACAGGGTGGTTCTTAATCTGCGCTATTACCGAATGTAACGCAAACAAAAATTTCAACAAATGTAATTCTTCGAATAATATAAAATCTTTCTGGATAGGGTTTCAGGCATTCCAGGCACATTTGCTTCGTTTCTATTCTATTAAAATAAAACGTTTTCTTCGCAGGAATCCCTTTCCACGAAATAGGTCCGCTTGAAAGTTTCGAGAAATGAGGAAAATCGTGCTACTGCTATGCATCTGTCTGGCACAAGGGGGACAAAGCAAAAAGCAAACACGCGACCAGCAAGCTGCGGGTTATGAGTACGAGTACGCCCGACACGAGCCAGCGTTGGGTCTAGCCGATTCGCTAGCCTACGGAAACCCCGGTCCAGCCTTGGCTGCGGGTCCAATAGGCCATGGTCGGGAGCTTCCTCGGCCAGGCTTCAGCGTCGGTGGGCCTTTGGCCAGTATCGCGAAGGGGGCAGCGGACGAAGCCCATACCCAGCTGAGCAACCAGCAGACCGCCGCTGGACAGGCTGCCTACGTCGCCAAGAACACGTTGGCTCAGGCAGCGTCTCAATCGGCCGCCACAGCAGCCGCAGCTCTTGCTGGCAAGCAGATAGTCGTCCAGGGATTGGAGCAACAGTCTAGAGATGCTCACGTCGCGGTAGACGGCGAAAATCTTCAGCTACAGCAGGCTGAACGAGCGGCGAGCGCAGCCCGGACCACTGCCAAGCAAGCTATGCACCAATTGCAAGTGATCACTGCAGCTCTGAACGCAGCTCAAACGACGGTGGACCGGGCGTCGCAGGCTGCAGCGGAGGCCGCAGCCGAATTGGCGGCGCAGACCACCATGCTTGGTCAGGCAAAGGCAAGAGCCGAATCGGTGGACGAACAACTGACCTCTGCCCGTTTGGACTACGAGACGACCCAATCCGCTGCTCAAAAAGCTGCCAACGCAGCTGCGGCTGCTCAGAATAACGCCGCTGCTGCCGCTGCGCAGGTAGCGGACACCGCGGGCGCCTCGGCTCTGCTCAGCCATGCACCGGTGGAAGTTCAGCAATCTGTGAAGCTCCCCGAGGACAGTCCCCTTAGACAATTGCCAGCCACCGCGCACAACGAGCCTAGCGGTCTGCTTTCAGCTGCCGCGCTTTCCGAGGCTGGCGGTCTCCGCGACTCCGGTGGTTACCTTGCGACTAGCGCGCTCAACGATCACAGCGGTCTTCTCGCAGCTGGCGCGCTTTCCGAAGCTGCTGGCCTGCGCGGATCCCACGGGCTTCGCGAACAAGCTCTTCTGGGACCCGGGGGCCATCACGAAGTCGCCGCCTACCGCGGACCCACCGGTCCCAGTGGCCTTAGTCGCTCGGAATTGCTCAGCTTGGCGAACGCTTTGCCTGTTGATAACTACGACCTCAAAGGCTATCGCTACTAGGTTCCTTTAAACTGAACAGTGGAATCTAGTTCTCGCCCTTTCTTTATTAAAAATTGAACGGGCTATGTCCGCGTCACAGATTATAAAATAAAACACTGGTAAAATCTTCAAATTTCGCTTCTATCCATTCTTGGACGTTTGCTCTTTTTATCTACACAAACACATTTGTAAAATAAATGAGTATTATCATCGGATATGTATAGTTTGTCGTAGAGTGTATAAGTATCTATATGAAGATAATGTTGTAGCTTTATTTAACGATGCAAGTGTGAATAAAATTAATAAAAAAATAAATTAAGATGTATTGTAGATGTATTCTGCCCTTCTAAATGTTATAATATGCCGACACAAGTTACTACAGTTCTGCGGTAAAAATATATAAGCAATCTACGTGAAGTGTTCTTTAAACAGTTGTTTATGATATACATGATATATAAAACATGTTTTTTTATTCGAACGAATAGCCGTCAAGTATAGCCGTACAGCGCGCCACCGGGAAAACGCCCAAGTTTGTCCTCGAATAGTTTCAATTTTTCTCGCTAGATGGCGCTATTTGACATTGTATTTACCGACGGATATCGGTACATTACCACGCTGTCGGTAAATGCTATACAAAATGGCGCCATCTAGCGGGAAAAATTGGAACTATCGATGACAAGCTTGGGCGTTTTCCCGGTGGTGCGCTGTACGGAGGTCGGGATTTTAGTTCGCTAGTTTCGCCACTAGATGGCGTTTCAGTTGTTCTAGAAAAGCGCGCGTAATTTGAATTAGTTATGCAAACATTAAAATTACATTAAATCTTTTTATGTATACCCTTCGATGTGTTTTCCTTAAAGACGCTCCTACAAAAATTTATCCGAAATAAGAACTTATATTTTATCTTGCAAATATTGTGATAAGAAGATTACTTTCAATATTTGTTTTTTACAGGCGAGGCACAAGTTCGAACAGAATCGAAGAGACTATCTTTAATCCCCGATATAATGGAGTTCTGCTAACGTTTCTTTCGGCGTTTCCTTTGTTTACTGCATTATAATAACAACAATACAAATGTATGTATTTGTTCGCACAGTAACTATACCTTCCTGTTGATCGTCATGCATTTGATTGTGCGTGCAAGTGCTTCCTGATTTCACCAGAATGTGGCAATTCTTTGCCATATCGAGTATAGCGAACACAGTCCTTCGCTGAAATCTTTTTATCTGCTGAAATAATAGAACATAAACAGTTCCTGGTTCTCCATGTCTCTGAAATTTCGTTATTTGTCTTTAACCATAACAGAACCACTTCCGGATTTCGCCTTAATCCGGTGGAAATTACTTTCTCTGTGCTATTGTTGCCAATTGTAACAATTTATTTTCCTAACAAATTTATATTTCTATCACTGTTATTATTAATAATTCTAAGTACAACGACAGATTTAAAAATGATGTAACGAAGAAGATAGTTCATTTGAAATTATACGGTACACGGTTCATAATGGAAACAGAGTAATTGCTAAAGTATATTTATCTAGGCAATCTGATCTCTACAAAGAAGATTTAGATCAGTTTTGTCTAATTCGATGGATAAAGATCGTTCGCAATTAATTCAATCGCTTTAGTGGGAATATCAGATGTTCTATTGCGTGTAATGTTATCGCGTGTAACAGCTATACAAAATAAAGAAATGAAATTGATTTAAAACGAAGAAATAAAAGAATACTACATTCGTCTATTATTTATTTATTTATGGTGCAGTATTCATTTTAAAAGGAAAAGTATCAAGAGAAACATAATTCAGCGAGCAACCAGCGCCTGTATTACGCTATGTTTAATAGCATCTCTTGACTCATAAGCGCCAGAAGTTGCACAATGTAATTAGACCGGACTATGGGAAATCGTCGTTCAATACTTTCCATTAATTAGTCCAACCGGCTAATTACATCCCACACAATTGAAATAGAAACAACGAAACGTCGAGTACTTCCAATTAATAGAAAGTAATAACGTATAACGACAGTTACGTAGCAATCAAGATTATTTGTAATAAAAATTGCATACTTAATAAATAATCGATAGTAAGTAGATAGTAATAGATTTATTATATATTTATTATCAACTGTTTGTAATTATGATTTCAAATGTATCGTTGTTATTTGTAAGAGAAATGTATACACACACGATGTTGCGTTTAGTAACGGACGTTAATTTAAAAGTTTAAAGTACAAGTTTTGAAAGTGGATCGATTCTCCGCGTGGCAGTAACGTAATTCTCGAATAAAGGAATAAAGAAATGTAGATGGCCGAGTTTCGTAACACACTTCGCATCGAATTGCATTCTATATCACGTTTTAGAGATCACGATTCGCTTACGACATGATCACGAACTCGCGGCAGGTGTTAATTTAACGTTATAAATAAATTGGATCGCTACTAGCGTCGTATTTTCAATACAAAGCTCTATTTCATCTACTTAATTATTCATTTAAAATTGTGTATCGTCGATCGATCCAATTAGAAGATGCATGAAGAACACGAAACGTAGGATACGGGATCGATCGCGTAGATAAAGCGATCGACTGTGGATCCGAGGATCGTGGGTTCTCGAATCCCCGTGCATTATTTTTCGTTTAGACTCCTACGTGTATTAAATATAGTAAAAATACAGGGTGTCCCAAAACTCGGGGAGGAGCCGGAAATGGGAGGTAGCTGAGACGATTCTGAACAACAATTTCCTTTGCAAAAATGTCGGATGGGGCTTCGTTGAGGAGATATTAAGCGAAAACCCCGACCAATCAGAGCGCGCGTAGACCGTTGGAGCGGCCGCGGTAGCGAAGGCTACGCGCTAGGTCGACGCTTCGATGCACGTCGAGTCACTTGTTCGCGTGCAAGCGCGGCCGCCAGCGCGTAAGCCTTCGCTACCGCGGCCGCTCCAACGGTCTACGCGCGCTCTGATTGGTCAGGGTTTTCGCTTAATATCTCCTTAACGAAGCCTCGGACAACATTTTCGCTAAGGAAATTGTTGTTCAGAATCGTCTCAGCTACCCCCCATTTCCGCCTCCTCCCCGAGTTTTGGGACACCCTGTATAATAACGCAGAGGTGTTACGCTAGTTGTCATCATGGATTAGATCAACCATGGATCGCTTACCAAACCATATAAAATTACCAATAAGTAGATCAGTCTAGAGTAATCGGGTACTTGTTGTATGGATCATTACAAAATCAAACATGCGTATCGTATGCAAAAGACATCGATAGAAAAGTGGCTACATACCTAGCGAGAATTTAAAATAAGAAAGGGTGACAGGCTAAGTAAAAATTAAACCGAATAACGTATTTACCAAACTAGATAATTTTTTAATTCGACAGAATTAATTTATTCCATTGTCGCGAAACGCAGTAATTATTTTTTAATTCGACAAAATCATAGGATATCAGATACGTCGACTTCCTTTTTCTGTATATCGCAGTTTCGAGATCATTTTTTCCATAAATTGAATGCATTTACTCTCGGTACAGCGGAAAACAGAAGTTGCGCTTAAAATTTTGGACGAATAGAATAGCGTAACTGCGACTAAAATTAATTATTCTAATAACGATCTTGAATTAATTAAAAGTATGTTTCGTTTTGTAACTCGAGAGGGAGAATCCCTTGGCAAGTTGTCATTGACCCATGATTTCCCACGTCCCCCCCCACTGGTGGTTCCCATAGTGCTAAACATAAGCAAAGAAGCAAATTAGGGAAAAGGAAAACGAAGAGGGACGAGATGCACGAGTATCCTAGCCCAATAGTGAAAGTGCTCCGAGCTGAAATCACGTGCTTCAGTTTCCTCAGGTATATCACCAGGTGAACTCTTACAGAGGAGTCCAGTATCATCTTCGCCACCCTTCAATTTTCTCATCCAGCGTCCTAGTTTCGATTCGCAATTCCGTCGATATCTCCGAAACCATGTGGATATATCATCGAACTGAAATGTAAAACTATTGCTCCGTTATGTCATTTAAAAAATTCTTCTTATATTTCTGAAGTGTTGTTACCTGTGCTGCATTTCGAGAAAAATAAATGAAACTGGTGAATGCCTCTTCGAGACTATACGGACGCTTTCTTCGTTTGGTCTGTACTGTTTTTTATTTTCTCTCTTTTTTTTTTTTTTTGACATTGCATTCTTGCGTATTAATTGTGTATTAACGACTCGAAATCTTATCGCCTCTCGCTTCGATTATATATATATATATCAAATATCTTGAACGATAACAACAGAGTTTTCAAAATAAACGTTTTTAAGCTTTCGTAGAATTAAGCTTAAATTTTGCGATGACGAACTTATAGAAAAATTCTAATCATCTAATCATTGATACACATAATAAAATTGTTGAAACACTTGTGCTTGGATATATACTTGTACAAATCAATTTTTGAGATCGCTCTATGGCTCGATGTGTCCGAAGCTGAACCAGTCGCATCCAAGCAAGCATCTTCACGTACACTAGAGAGAAGTAAAAGTAACCCTCCGTTCACCTTCCTTGTTCCGGTCAATTAGATATTGCTTTGAAGTTATGTAAAACTTTCCTTCCATGCAATCATCTAACCATCATCTTCCACGCAAAATTTAATCTCTATCTAGAAAACTCATCCTTACTTTTCGATGATAAATCTTCGGATGTCAAAACTAGTTGATCGCGTTGCCGATACAAATCAATATTTGCGTAAATAATAACGCGTAGGTGCTGGTTGTATTTAAGCAAAAATATAAAATTGTCAGTATAAAAATGATCCTTTAAAAACAACATTTATTACATTCACGAGAAACGTTATTCATTTTCGTAGTTATAACATCTAGGGTAGTATACGTATTATATTTAACAATAAATTGTATATTACAGTTTGAGGATAATGATTAATATAAACGCCGGAGCACATTTTCTGCAATTACTTTATTAAGTAAAACAAGAGAGAAGCCTCTCGGAAAGTTGCCTCGAGTTTGATTTCGGCCGTTTCCGAGATAGTTCCATATTTTCCCAAATAAATTTGTCCCCTTTGATACGCAAGCTCACGATAGAAAGTAACTGGAACATTTTTGTGTGCTTCAAATGTTCCATACCAATTACTTTTACTTTCGAAATGTTAACTAAATATCAACGACTAACGCGATAGAAATTTTTGAACATTTTGTTCGGTACCCCGAACGTCGAAGCGAGAGGCACCAAGAGAGATGATAAAATTCGATCGCACGAAGTACATTCCCGAGGAATGCGTAATCGCGTGTTTTCTTATTTAAAAGCTAGTTTATGATGCTTCTGTTTGAGTTAATGATACTCGACTCTTCGCGGATCCGAGGAGAAGAGCTTTCGACACGCATTCCTAAGCGAATGCAGTGTTTGCTAATGCCGTAACATACGTGGGAACGCTGGTTTACGTTGCATTCACCAACTGTTTACACGTCGGAGAATAGGTTCGCGGGAAGATACAAGTTCGAATTTCGTTTACTTGTATTAACGATAAAAACATATATGTAACACCTCCGCGTAACGAAGAAATAACGTAACGTAGTAACGTAGCTATCGTGCGATTAGGTGACACGGAAATATTTCTTTACGTGTATTTTAGATAAGCATGGGAAGTATGAGCCTAAACACGGCGATTTAAAGTACCGACGAAATTGTCCTTACGATGAAACCAATCGGAGCACGAAACTGGTACCACTGGACTCTCGTTTTCGTAATCCTGATAATTCACGTCCGTGCGAAAAAGGTGAATTTCGCAGGTGAATTTTACCTGTGTTAATTAGTAAGAATGACAATTAGTACAAATTCCAAGGCGTTCCAATAATTGTACGACAGTCTTTTTGCATTGTTAAAAATTCTTTTAAAGTCTCTGTATCACGAGTATCGAATATTCAGCTCGGAAAAATTGTACGTTTTCGTTTAGGAGAAACGGCAAATATTTCGTGAGCAAGTGCTGCCGGCGCTAGGAGGTAAAATTCCAGAAGAAGCTTTCAAAACCGATCGTTTGGCTTTGAACCGGCTGAATAAAGAAGGCATTACCGTACCCGACGGGGTGGTTTTAGATGCTCGGCATGTCCATAAACATTCCCAGCATGTCCAAACGATGCCAGAGGTAATAAAGGTACGTACAAACATTCGGTTTCCTTCGAGACTAAAAATCGTTTTCAATATCTTGTAATTGTGAATGCGCGCTGAAAGCTTCTACGTCAAAAGCTTATTTTAAATAAAAGATTGCTCTTTTTTTTTTAAATCAACCAAGCGATCGACAGTGGATCCGAGGATCGCGTTGCTCGAATCCTCGTGCCCTAATTCACGAAACGAAACGAAATGAAAACGTTACGCTTTTAAAGGTATACCTAACACCAGACGGTCGTTACGTGCCACCGGAAGGACGATTCCATTATAATCACGCTAAAACGATAGACACGACTTATGTAATTCGTGCACCGTACTCGAGGTCCAACGGGCACAAGCACTCCAGCAATTTCAACAGGAACAAGCATCCAGAGCTACCGAAATTACAAGCTTACACGAGCTTCAGGCAATTCACTCCCATAGTGGTTCCAACGAAACCTGGAATATACAAACCTATTGTAACACCTTTGGTACTTCCTAGCGGCGCAGAATTGTTGGAGGAAACTTATTTACCCAGCTGGAACGTTCACTACGACTGGGACACCGTCTACGAGCCAAACAGCGATTACTACATCAGCAACATCGCTCTCTTCGACTCTCATCAGGTACTTGTTAAATTTAACATCGGTATTTTTAAACTTAATCATTTCATAGGGTGTTTTTATAATGAAACATATGAAAGATCTCTATCGTCTTCGAGAAAGATTCTTCGACAAAAGGAATCGTGGTAAGTTGCTGACAAGAAAGATACGAAATGATACGCCTCGTCAACCGTGGCAAGTAGAAAACCACAGACCAACCGAGAAAAATGTCCGTCGACACATGAGATTCTAGTTTGCCTAGCTTGATTAAGCGAACCACAATTTTTTAGAATTAGCTTGAGGGAATAGATTCAGTTGTCCTGCACTCAGAAATGAAATGAAAGTATTCTCGACGGTACGCTTGCTATTGTACATACTCTTATAGTCCAAGGTCAGTGGTAATAATTAAACGGAGCCATAAATCGGAAGAAACATATTTTGTACGTTAACAGTCGGATGAATGGAAATGGATGAAAATGTTTGATTTATATTCGAGCCCGTAATTATGAAAGTGGTCTAAGTGAAAAATTTAAACAAAAAAAAATGAGTGTAACAGTTATTTCACATCATATTATTTCAAACTATATTAATTGAATGTAATTTTTTTTCAAGAAGTATATGACTTAAACCACTTTCATAATTATTTCCTGACCTCGGAGAAAAGCGATAATTAAAAATATACGTGTATGATAATACGTGTATGTATAATTCTTTGATTAATAAATAATCGTTTCAAAATATATACGAAGAATTATAGAAAAATCACGTTCGAATGCTCGTGCTTATAAAAGAGTGAACGTAAAGCGTTACATGAATTTTCAGATCATAACCGATTACCAAGGGTTCCTGAATAACGTACACGAACGTTCTTCGAGGCACATTGGATCCCCGTACAGAGACCAAAATGGCTTTTCTCGGATTACAAAACAAGAGTCGAGGGGTAACGGCATGAAACCACGAGCAACATCCTATCAAAATGTTAGATTACATCTTGATAAAACTGTTCCACGTTATACCAATTTGACTAGCATTCCGGAGACTAGTTTCGCGTGTAATGGAAGGAGGGGCATGTTTGCGGACCCTGAAACCAATTGCCAAGTGAGTGTTCCACCGCTTGTTAAAGTGATTTCATTTTGCGAAAAGTTTACAGGACTTTACCGTGGATTGTTAGTATTTTTTTTTTGTAAGTTAATATACTCTTTCCTTTTAGGTGTTTCACAACTGTTCGGGTTGGTCGAGGACTTCTTCACTGTGCCCTGGGGGCACAGCATTCAGTGAAGTGAAAAAGCGCTGCGAATGGTGGAATACAGTGCAATGCAAATGATTATCACTTATTAAATTGTAAACGCTGTAAAAACAACCATAATAGACAAACAATTTCAATATAAAAATACTGACTTCAATTTATTACAAAATATGTAAATAAAATGTTTGACAAAAGATAATAAGGTCTTTGTATAAGAAACTTTTAAAACTCAAAATTTGTTTTTTTTTTCAAATTTGGTATGATGTTATACTCTCAGTTTCATATTGTGTCTTCATCTATACAGAACATGACGCTTTCTTTTTTAAAATTCCATCCCGCAACACTTACAGGAACCTTTTAACCAAATTATTAAAAAATTTAGCGACATTTCGATGGTCGAAGTTAAAATGAATGTGACACTTTTGATAAACTGTTATAAATATTTCTAAACCACAACAATTCTCATGTTGTTCACCAATCTGTCCTTTTTAACCTTTGGCAAGTAAGGATTTTTCTCTGGGTCCAAATTCAAACTGAAACAGAGGAAATAAAGATATTAATTAAATAGTAATCACACACGAATGTACGATTATTGTATGTTTATATTATTTAAATGTTGTTCATCGTGAAATTTGATCAGCGCCTCTATCAGGAAAACGCCCAAGTTTGTCGTTGACTAGTTTCTATCTTCACGGATAAATGGTGCCATTCAAATTGTGGTTTACCGACAGTACGGTAGTGTATCTAATTGTAAGTACGTGTGTCGGTAAATACAATGTAAATGGCGCCATGTAGCGGTGAAAGTCGAAATCTCGAAAATTAGTTCGCTAGGTTCGCGACTAGATCGAGAATTTATTCTTTTTTAAAGTATCGTCCTTGTACAAATTTTCAATATCTTCTTCTTCAATCGTAGGTCCACTTACTCATTCGTTATATCCCATTGAAGTAATCAAATTTTCTTTAAAAAAAAAAAAACTGTGATAACGCACCTGTACAAAGATTGAGCTTCTGCGCAATTCACGTTGTACCACCAGTCGCAGGCGAAATCCCGTTGATTAAAAAGGGTGCCATTTGTGCACAGAAAAGATGCACCTTGATGACCTTCACGACCATCGTGGCAAATATGATACGCCTAAAACATAAAATATTATTTATATTAATATATATGTAGTACTTTAATAATACTACCATTAACACTACTTCCATTTCTGTATTTATATTTTTATAACGAACAAGTACTCCGTTCGTCAACCTTGAAACACTAATTGAATAATTGTAAGCAATATACAAATGAAGCATATTACCTGACAACCGGTTTCCACGTTGGCGTACATTCCTGGAACGAATGGAACGTATGCGCAAGAAAAACTTGTCTGTGGCACGGTATGGTACAAAGGAAAATCGACTCCGGGAATCCCCGGAATTTTGCTGAAGTCTTGATGGTTCTTTGGTTTTTCGGTTACAACGATCGGTTTATCGAGTTTCCCTAAGGACTGGTAGTCTTGGTAGTTTTGATAGTCATTGTAGTTGAAATCTTCCACCACTATTCGGTGCTGAACGAACATAAATGCAGTCGTTAACGTTGAGTAAATAAACTTAATTTTAATTTGCCGTATGACAAATTAAGGTCGTTATGTTGGTACCACGCTATTTTTATACTTTTTGATTTGTATTATTTCCTTTTAAATATTGCAGATTTAGAATACACACATTTCCTACTAACTATACGTTACTTAAAACTCTGTACCTTTCTCAAAAATATGTTATTTAATAAAGCAATTTGATAACACGAGTGTCTGAAATGAAGTGAAAATAATAGAAGGATGATCATCACGCTACCTGGAGTGGATTGGTGGATGCTATTAGTAAAAAGATGACCACCAGCAGTGTAGCAGGGTTGTAACAGTTTCTTGACATGGCTGCACTCTAGATAATAATGAACTAAACTAGTACAGTTTTCAATGTGCAGTCGAGTTTTAGCTCTCCGACTGCTCTACAGATTATGTCACAGTATGAGAGGGAAAGTTGTACGGATATCGAAGTCGAGCAAGGACTATTCCGATTTTACGTGTGTTACGTTTAGGCGCAACGTAAAACAGAGTGTTACATAAACTTTCACGAGTTTGTCGACCGCAATCTTTCTTCTCTTATTTCTCCAAAAATGTTATTGTTAATTCGTCGCTAAATAAAAACTCGGAAAAACTTTGCAAATATTAATAGCTGATTATTTTTTATATAATACCGGTGTACCAATTTGGTACTTGCATACGAATCCCAATAAACCTACCAAGCGAGGCATTCGAATATACTTTGTAACAAATTCGGAAACAGTTGTGGGTTATCGAAATAAATTGTTATTCGAGTAATTATTCAAATAATTTACTGCTTTGTCTAAGGTTCCAAGTTATTCGAACGATAACATATTTGGCAAACGAATTATTTTATTTGAAAGTTAGCTAGTCGTTATTTGATTTTGCCTGGAAAATAAAGGTGTTTTCCTGTCGTGTGTAGAATGTTTATTCCAAAGCCACAGACATTTACTTATAAATATCCTTCGGGCTTCATTTTTTTTTGTCTTCATTCTCAATGAGGTTTTGTTCGACGATCGAAAGTCTAAACAGCAGATTTTATTAACCTTTTGACCGCGAAAAGCGTAGAATAGTAGGCTCACAAACTTGTCGGACAGCTTGGCTGACCATAGAAAATGATAGAATGTCAACATACGTATACATACTATGTACATATATTTATAGATGGCGGTTATAAATGAAAGTTAAAGTTTCGTTTTTTCTTTGTAAGAGGCGCTGCGATCGGACTCGCCAAATTCATTTCATTTGTTCTATTATTTAATACATAGTCCCTGCTTGTAGCCGCCATTATTTATTAGACGTCAGTTGATATTGATCCGAGTTACTCGTTCGTATATTGTGTTAAACTTTGCGAAATAAAAATGTTAAACGTACAAATAAGTACTGCCTCAGGAATAAAACAAATCCTTACCATTGATGCACCACTTAAAATTTATGAATTACGCAACCAAATCGAAGAATTAACGGTAAGTGTAACGCTAAAACTGTCGAATTTAACCTCAAAACGCTTGATTCGATTGACAAGACTAATCGTAATAATTTCGTTTATAGAATTTTTCACAAGAAAACTTTTATATTATACACAACGGAAAACTTGCCAGTGAAAATGATACCTGCTACGCCGGTTACGTTTCCGTGGTTCCACGATTGCTGGGCGGAAAAGGAGGTTTTGGTTCCATGTTACGGGCAATTGGCGCACAAATTGAGAAAACTACGAATCGTGAAGCTTGCAGGGACTTGAGCGGACGTAGATTGCGCGATATTAACGAAGAGAAAAGATTGAAAGTCTGGATTGAGAAGCAAGGAAAGCGGGAAGAGGAAGCAGCAGAACGCAAAAAGAAGAAATTAGAAAGGCTTTGCGCGGAACCTAAACATGAATTCAGAGATCCAACTTACGATCTCGAGAGATCAGTTTTAACAGAGAGGGTTGGTGATGCGGTTGAGGAGGGGCTAAAACTTGCCGGTTCATCTGGTTTAAAAAGAAAACACGACGAAGTACTTAAACCAAATAAAAAGAAGACAATATTGGACTTTGATATCGACTCTGACGAATTGGGCAGTTCGGACGATAGCGAAGTAGACGAAATGAAGTGTAAGAAAATGGACATAGACGAATTGAAGTGTAAGAAAATGGACATAGACGAACAAGTTTCAAACGACAGTGGACATTCAAGCAATTGAAGCAGAATGGCTTATCAAAAATACAAACAGAATGAAAAGTGAATATTCAGAAGCAAATTCTGATAGTCAAATTAGAGATCAAAATTTAATTAATGCAGAAGAATTGAAGAAAGACTGTTGCAGTAGATGGTAAAGAGGTTTCAGTGTCAAATCCATTACAACCTACTGATACGTAAAATATTAATTGTACAATACATATATGTCTCATTTTTGTATATTTTAAAGGTCGTATTGTACAAACACTTATTAAATAAAATGGTTTTAGTCACTATACCATCTTAAGTTTAATAAAGAATTTTTGATTGAAAATGAATCACTCAAAAGCAGTCTTGTTTGAATATTTTAGAATGTCCATGTAACAAATCAAATCACTTTCCACGCAACTAATTCGCTAGCGAGTTTAATACCCACTGCAAATAATGCAATCGATGTGAGAAATGGTTTCAAAAAATTGTTAACAAGCAAGTCTTTAAACTTGTATTGATACGCCCATCTATAAATGTCTTTCATATATTTCGACCCGATAAAATATAAACAATCGTTTCGCGCATACTTTCCTTGAATTTGAGTCTGTACCATACGTGCTAAAGCACCCACGCAAATGTAATGATAGGATTTACGACATTTTCTCCGGGAATCGAGCTGGAAATAATGATCGCTCTTATGTATTTATTAACCTGTATTAGAATATATATGTGAAAGGAGGATAAAATTTGTAAATAAAACCTCACGTTCTTACAAATTTTGTTCTCTTTAACAGATGATATATCGGTCAGCGTTGATGACGACGATGTACAAGTATCGTACTCCACGGCCATTTTCAACTTCTCCGCGGAGTACAAATTTAATTTGTAAAATTCTTACATTTCTTTTATATCGTAATACTCAAAATTGTATGTATAAATAAAACCAAAGAATATCGAAACTGATATTCTTTTGTTCGATATATAATTTTTTATTTAAAGCGATCCTGTCCGAAGTTGCCACACCGTGTTCCGTTACGACCGTTGCCTCGAACATTCTTCTCTATATTTGAATAACAAACGAATTATCCAGCCGACCTCAAACGTTCCATCCCGTATATTCGCAACGAACAAAATGCAATGTAACAAATGTACATGTTCTTTTCCTCGTTCTCGGACTAGTTCCGTTAACTTACTTCTTTTTATCGGTAATGTGCAAGAGCGCGCGCCCGACAATTTAAATTGCACCGAATCGAATACTCGGTGCAGTTCAGATTCGAAACACACAAAGATCAGGAAGCAGGAAGAACGGCTAAAATAGATCGAAAGATACCGAAAGGAAAACCGCGAAAAATCACAGCCTGATTTGTCAGTCGAAACAGGCTGTAACAGTGGGGGAACCAGTCGACCCTGACTACGGTCACTCCGTATCATCGACACTGTCAGTCGGCATCCTGATCTTCAGTACGACGGCTACGGTCCTAACTAGCGCTTCAAATTACCGTACAACGGATCATCTCCGATTCGACAATTATCAGTAACAAGAGATACTTTTCCTTCTTCGATCATCGGCGACCCCCTCCGCGGTCAACGACGCAACAGAAATGGTCAAATCGTATCTCTTAGGTGTTGTTCTTCAAGTATTGATACTCGGTTTCGCCGATGCCCGTAAGTAAAACGACGATCTTCGATACCGTTTAAATTACTTAGATTACGTGCTCTGTCCCAGTAACAGTTCTCGCTACGATTAATCTTAGAATGTAAAATTTGATAATAACAGACGTCTAAGCTTAGGATGACATCTGGAATGTGTGCCGACCCCACGGATTCCAGTTTTACTTGGAACTATACCGCGGATCCAATGTACTTACGACGTTATTCAAACGTGTACGTTATTTTAATTTGCGCGTAGCTTTGCAGAAATACTATCTGCGCGATATTTACTTCGATACAGCGCTATTTTTTCATGGGATTCCAAATGAGTCATACCAGGGTTAATGAAAGCACGCATACAGTCCATGTTTCCTTAGCTTACGTAGAATTACGAAACGACGGGAATCACGCTGCGTCGAAGCGACCATCCGAAGAAACACCGAGGGAACTTGTAAAAAAAAAAAAAAAAAAAAATACGATGAGGCGTTCAGGGAATTTCGTATCGTCAAGGCCACGCGATGCTCAACCGGACAATAATTTCAGTAATTTTTTGCACTTCCATCGGATAACTTTCACTTTTCAGAATCTCAAGGAAGGTCGGGGTGCGTGACACCTAACGGTGTGAACGGTATATGTATCGAAATACGACAATGCCAACCGTTGCTGAACATTCTCCAAATGCAACCTCTTCAACCGTCCGCTGTCGATTTTTTGAAGCAATCGCAGTGCGGTTTCAGCGGTAGAGATCCCCTCGTCTGTTGCCCGAACCAACCTCCGGACAATATTCCACCTCGTCGGGACCAGCCTTACCCCACGGTCGATCCGAATCGGAACGTAGACCCGAATTTCCCCGATCCGACTAATAATGGTAACATAGATCCGATAAACGACGGCGCGAACACGCAGTACAGTCTAGTCGACAATCCTCTGCTTTCCAACGAATGCGGTAAAGATTTGTCACAGAGAATTTTCGGTGGGGAACGCACGGAACTCGACGAGTTCCCTTGGATGGCGCTCTTGGAATACATTAAACGTAAGCATTCCGAGACTAATCGACACGTAAGAAAGAAAAAAAAAAAAAAAAAAAAAAAAGAAAAAAAGAATAGAAAATATAACAGCACTGTTTTAGCGAACGGTAAGACTACAGCTTGCGGAGGGGTGCTCATCAGTCGCCGGTATGTCCTGACCGCGGCCCATTGCGTGAAAGGCAAGGATCTACCGGTGTCGTGGCGGTTGGAAGCTGTTCGTTTAGGGGAGTACAACACAGCGACCGATCCCGACTGCGTCCAAGACGGGACGAACTCCGTGATCTGCGCCGATGATCCTATCACGGTTGGAATCGAGGAGCAAATCGCTCACGAGAGCTACAAACCGACATCGAGGGACCAAAAGTACGACATCGCCCTGTTGAGACTGACCCACGACGTCACGTTCACCAATTACGTGAAACCTATATGCCTGCCACCGAACGCCGCGTTCGGGCAAAAGGTAGTTGTCGCTGGCTGGGGAAAGACCGAGAACACATCGGCGTCGGATGTGAAGCTGAAGTTAACGTTGCCAATCGCCGACGACGCGTCGTGCAGGCAAACGTATAGCAACGCGAGAGTGATGCTCGGTTATGGTCAACTATGCGCCGGTGGACAGAAGGGCAAAGACTCGTGCCGCGGAGATTCGGGTGGACCTCTGATGTCTCTCGAGAAAGACCAGGATGGTAATGGAAAATGGACCGCGGTCGGTGTCGTTTCGTTCGGGCCGTCGCCTTGCGGCATGCCTGGATGGCCTGGTGTCTACACCAGAGTGGCAGACTTCGTGCCCTGGATACTTAGTAAAATGAGACCTTAAGACCTTACGGTGTCTTCGAAAAACACGGCGGATGTTCTCGTCGTCGCTCGTAGCTCGTATCTCCTCGGCCGCCGATGATCTTCTGTTTTGTAATGCAAAAAGGAAGCAACCTTGGTTGATATTAATCGTTGGCTGACGCACGCACAGTGTCCCGTGCATTCCGAAAGTCGTAATAATGATTGTAATAAAGAATTCATTGTTTCCTTGATCATGGATTTTTCTTCTTTCCAATTTGCTTCCTGCGAGCGGCGTGGATGAATAAAAATTTTATTACGCTTCGATAATCATAGGAGGAATATTTTCCTCCTGCGAGGATGATGTCATTACGTTATGTTTGTATTTGAACTATTCGCTGCATCGTTATCGGTTCCAGAGGTTATCGTTTTCGGGTCACGGAAAAAATCGTGTCATTTTTAAACTATCGACGCATGTGCACATATTTTCATAGATTCCGTTACAAGTTTCTTCGATCCGTTCGTTTATCGTAGCGAATAACGCACGATAAATAAGATCCATTCGTGATATAATCAGCGGAAGTTGTTCGCGGTCGTTTACTGTCGTTCGAGTCATTTCTGTACGGCGTAAAATACGTTTGTCGTTGTAATTGGGAATCCCCGGATCGCTTTTGTTAGATCGATCGCAAAGGTACGATTAGAACAAAGCTCTGATTCTTGGAACTTGTTCGGTTCGTTGGATCCTACCCATTCTCTCTTTCGTTTAGAGAAAGACGAGAAAGAACGCCAGCTTCTTTGTCGGAATTATTCCCGGAGAGACCGGTTTGCCGAAAAAATTGATTCGATCGAGCGCGCATCGGCCATAATTTCAAAGCGCGCACTCTCATTAGTCGAACGAATTTTCCTCGTACCCCCTTCTACCTCAACAATTTTTATTTTCGGTTTAAAGACTCGCGGAACTCGGCAAAGTCAGCAGATGGCAGCAGTTAGTACATCGAGAACTGCCGCGCGCGTTCGTTCTTCGCGAAAGGAACAAACAAACGCTTTTCGAAACTGGTTTGTCCGCTTGGTCGGCGATTTGAAAAATTGCATGCGAGCTGAATGGACGACGGTACCAATTCTGGAGACGCGCGATCCATTATTTAGTATAGTACAGATGAGAGAAACGACCGAGAGTGATTCCTCGCTGTTTTAACGAGCATCGGCCGGAAACGCCGTATTTGAATTCATTTCCAGAAAAAGAGAAACACGCTCGAGACCAAACATGATCCGTCACGTACTCTTGTTTGCGCTCGTGGTTCTACATGAAGCTACTGCGCGTGAGTAAAATATCGTAAATACGTAACCGAAAATCCCGCGGGCAAAACCAAACGGGGCACAACCCTCCTTTGTTTCGCTACCGTCATCCGACCATTTGGCGGTAAACATTTTAAATCGTCACGCCAATGTACGACTCTGTTTTCATACCTTTGTGTACGAAATTCGCGATCATTTCGACTCGTGACCATCTTCTGGTTCTTATGTATCTCGGTGGCATTCACCTCGCGAGGTAGCTGGCATTTATACAATTTTGTTTATAGCGCGTACTCTTCAAACCTACTTCGGCCCTCTTGTGTTCTGCACATTTCCGGAAGCCCACCTGTATTTCTCTTTTCCTTAATATATCTCGTTTTTTCCTTTACGCATCTTTATGCCACAGGGCTTTTCGATATTTTATATTTTTGTTAACCGATCCGCGAGAATCTTTGTTGCGTGTCTCTCTAAAAACGGAGGTTTCTGTTTTCAGAGGATGCGTGTATCACGCCCGAGAACAAAAGCGGTCAGTGCATCACCGTACGAAGCTGTCAGCGAGTGATAGACATTCTTCAGCAGCAAAGGCCCTTGAGCAGGGAAACTCTCAACTACTTGAACAGCCTTTCGTGCGGTTTCGAGGGGAACGATCCGAAAGTGTGCTGCGAGTTACAGGTGAACTTTATTTACTAGAGAACCGGAAGAATTTTTGTTACGCTCGGTAAACATTTGTAAACAACGACGGTTCTAGACTCCATCGGTGCCTGGAACTCAAACGTCGGAGCCTACGGCGGTCCTCGATCCCCCGGATGTCACGAATCATCCGAATTTACGACTGCTGAACAACGACGAGTGTGGACCGGCCACGGCGTCGAAAATCATCGGCGGCAACCGGACAGGCGTTCTGGACTTTCCGTGGATGGCGTTGATTGCTTATAACACCGGCAGAGAGACTCCAGAATTCCGATGTGGCGGATCATTGATCAGCAAACGATACGTGCTCACAGCTGCTCACTGCGCTACATCGTTGCCCGGTGGTAAGACGATCGAGATATTTTGCTTTAAAGTTTTTTATATGTATCCTTGAGAAATGTATAAGATCATATACAGGGTGTCCCAAAAGTCGGGGAGAAGCCGGAAATGGGGGGTAGCTGAGACGATTCTGAACAACAATTTCCTTTGCAAAAATGTCGGATGGGGCTTCGTTAAGGAGATATTAAGCGAAAACCTTGACCAATCAGAGCGCGCGTAGACCGTTGGAGCGGCCGCGGTAGCGAAGGCTTACGCGCTGGCGGCCGCGCTTGTACGCGAACAAGTGACTCGACGTGCATCGAAGGACATTGACGCTGCCGCCTAGCGCGTAAGCCTTCGCTACCGCGGCCGCTCCAACGGTCTACGCGCGCTTCTGATTGGTCGGGGTTTTCTGTTAATATCTCCTCAACGAAGCCCCATCCGACATTTTTGCAAAGGAAATTGTTGTTCAGAATCGTCTCAGCTACCCCCCATTTCCGGCCCCTCCCCGACTTTTGGGACACCCTGTATATCTATGTTCGTTGGATACATTAGTAGAGGATCAGATTGTAACGCTGCTGATCCGGGTTCGAACCTCGATTTATGTTTCTTTTTTTTATTTCAATTTTGTATCATAGAAATATACTTTTTATATACTGTGTACTATATACTGTAAAACCAAAAGCGATTTCCACACACGTGCCTTAACCTGTTAGATAATCGCTTGGACAGCGCTCGAAGCCATTATGTAGCAATAAACCATCGAGCAATTGACAATTACTCTAACGGATGCCACTTCTAAGGCAAGATCGAGTAGCATATACCGAAACGAACAGCGATAATAACGTTTCTCCTAACGCAGTGTTTATTGCATAAAACTTATCGTCACGTGTCAAACTTATTATCAACGTCAACATTGCTTTCAGGTCTCACGTTGATCGGAGTACGAATAGGGGAGCACGATTTGAACACGGAACGCGATTGCGATAGAGATGAGACCGGTCTTGAGATCGTCTGTGCCGACAGATACCAAGATTTCGGTTTGGAGAGCGTGCACTTTCATCCTGAATATTCGAGCAAAAAACTGCAAAACGATATTGCTCTGCTTCGGTTGAACGGAGACGCCGATTTCCGTCCGGCGAACGTGCGACCGATTTGCATGCCGCTTGGAGCGGCCGCTACCATTTCGCAAAAAAAAGTAAACATTAGAATTAAATGTCTATTTCGTGTATTTTCTTTTTTCGTTCCATGATAAATATTTATTTTCGTTCCCGAACGACAGGTTACGGTGACTGGTTGGGGTGCGACGGAACTCGGGCCGCGCAGTCAGTCGTTGCTACAAATCAAGTTATCGCCAGTTAGCACCGCGGATTGCGCGGAAGCGTATAAAGGGAAGGCAGAAATCTGGTACAAACAGATCTGCGCAGGCGGTAAAAGAGGCATGGACTCTTGCTTGGGAGACAGCGGTGGACCGCTTCAAGTCCCGACAATGTTTGGCGAAAACGTGAAATATGTTCAATACGGAATTGTCAGCTTTGGTCTGAAGAACTGCGGCACGGAAGGAGTTCCTGGAGTTTATACCAACCTTGTATATTACATGGATTGGGTTCTAGATACTATTAGGCCATAAATAATACACACAGTCTACATTTTTATTCAATTGATGAAATGATTTATTAAACGAATGCTAATGATGCCTTTACAGAGCTAAGGACTGAAAGCGAGAAGTCTTTGAACGTGATCAAGGGATCAAGTTGGCAGCGGCATTCATCGTATTAAAACACAATTCTACATTTGCTCGTTTCAAATTTTTATAACAATGTTACAATAAATCGTCATAGTTCTATATGTTTTAATATGTGTACGTAATGCAATACATACTAAGTTAGAAAACTTACAGGTAACTTGCTATCGCAAGCATCGTTCCTATCAGTATTTGACTAGAATTTACAGTTATCCACCCGATATATCGGGTTATAACTATCCCTCCGTATCGTGCTCGTCACTGTGCAACGTATTTTCATCTCGATCGTCGCTTAAAAAATCTTCGTTATTATGTAATTTATCGTTTTCATGTTGGTCTTCGATTAATTCTGCTGTCTCGTTTATAGAAACTTTTAATTGGCCGCGATCTCCTCTCTTTTTGGAAAGGGAACTTTGGGATTTAGCCGTAGATTTGTCGGAAGCTTGCGATCTCGATGCGTTCGATGACTTCGACGATTGGCTCACGGACGTTAATGTTCCAGAAGAGCTACTCGGTGATCCGGAATCGGGCCTAGAAATATTTTCGTAATCGATGTATGAATCTATGCTACGGGATTTTTGCCTATGTCCTTTTTTCTTTTTCTTCCGTTGAGAACACTTCCGGCCATCTTTCTGTTGCGCCTTTATGAAGGACTGATAAGTCTAGAAAAGCACCGCCATGAGTAGCCCATTCCTTGGCATTCATACTAGATGAAGCGAGTTTTGTTCACCTGAGAATGACGTTCGAAAAGCGTTGGTATTTGAGTCACGCGATCCAACATCATTTCCATCTGCAATCGATGACGTTCCGCCTGCTCGATCGCTTCGTCGCGACGAAGAGAAGTTCGAATGTCAAGGTCTCTCTCATGTTCGTGCCTTCGTGTTTCATTACAAGTTACTTTTGCTATACTTTATACTAATAAAGTTACACGTGTAACAATCTCACTTCGAAAGATTCGTACCTTGCCGCAGACCTCAAAGCTCTCCATACCGGATTCCGTCCGATCATAGATTCTCTCGTTCTTATCGCTTGTTCTCGCCGTTTCTCTTCCATCTTCTCTCTAATCTCGCGTTCCAATTTCTCGCTTTAACAGAAACATTAAATTACTCGTTTTCCTATTTCGGATTATCAATAGAAGTTACGCAGTTTTGCGGTACCGAGACATTTGGCATCTTAAAATCGCTGCTAAATTATTTCCCCGCAATGGTAAAAGTGACATCGCTGATCTGGACCTTTCTAACGGCATTGATGCACTGTTTGACAGTCGCGAGGAGTTCTTGCTCTCAGGATTCTCGTTACAATTTTTGCTCGTGTCCTGCAAACGCGTGCTCGCAGATTTAACCCGTTCTCGTCTCGCCATTGACGGAGGTAAAGAAGAAGATTTCATTAATTCCGCTGCTCTTACTCTTTTCTGTAGTTGCCTGCAAATTACTGTCAATTCTTGTTAATTGTTTCTATATTTCAATTTAAAAAAAAAAAAATAATAAATAAATAATACTCCACGTATTATATTGACCTGTAGTATTCGTCTTCAAGCATACGATCATATATCTCGGTACCAAAAAGATTCTTTGGCACGGGTTTAGCCTTGAATTTCATACACGCGCTAATACCTTTGCTACGAATTTCTGGGCTAGACCTTGCTAAGGATCTCCAGGCTCGACGGTCGCACTCGAGTCTAAAAGGACGTACCTGAGACATTAAATTTAAGGCACTTTCTTCGCGGATCATGCGACTTCTAAAAGATTAACAAAAATCACATGCACATCGTCCTTATTTGGTATCATATGTACTGTGATTATATAAAATATAGGTTAAGACGAACCGCTCTTCCTTCTCAGCGAGTAATTTGTTATAAAGTGGAACTTTGGACGTAAGTGGAATTGGTCTTATGTGACGTTTTCTATAGGGACTCCTTTTGTTACTACGAACATTTTTGCATTCCATTTCTTCAGTTTCAGCATGTGCCATGTATTTTTCTGCCTCCTCCCTACAATGTTTGTCATACAATTTTTAGTTTATTAATAAATGATATATCTTCCTTATTACCGTAGAGTAAAGCTGAATGGCTTAGGAACAGTAGGATGCCATTCCTTTGAAGTACTAGCTGGCAAACTTCTTGTCTCCACACTGTCTATATCGCTTTCTATACTGTCATCATTTTTTGATTGAAACCATGTTCTCCAACTGTTATTAGCAGAGTGTATCTTTTCGTTGCATATTGTCTTAGCTTCCTTGTCTTTCTTCTTGCATCTAGATACATGGAAACGAAATTACAAAACACAAACAGACTCACTTGTAATTGATTAGGGATACCTGTTTGTCAGAAGGTCTTGATCGTCTGCGAGTCCAGCAAAATTGGCAGAAGGGAATAGCATAGGACTACTTGTTCTAGACTCTTCGAAGTAACACTTTTTGCCATTTAATTTCAAGTTATTAATACCATTTTTACTTTTGGCACCTGACCTTTGACTAGACTTTTGTACTGAGAATCTGGATACATTTGCATTACCATGGTCAGTAAGTGAATTTTGTGAATTTTGTAAATTTTTTAACAATAATTTTTGTTTTCTCTTCAAGTAATCTACTTTTTGTTTAAATTGTTCATTTGTTAAATGATGGACTTGGCCATAATCTGGTATACTTTCCAGAAATTCTAGAAAGTTGTCCACAATCTCTCTAGGACTCGATACCTCTGAGTCGCTGAGAAATTCACCTGTTGTGATATTTATTTTACACATTTTATCAGCGTTCTCGTTATTGTTATTTTTCGTGAGCCTAGGACGTTCGTAAGAAGGTGTTGGTTGTCTAGTGTAAGGATCCACTGGTACTTTTACACAGGAATTATAAAAGGATGTGCCTCTGTGCTCTGTCATTGCCTATTAAAGTAATTAAGTTATCATTAATGCGTATTTAAGTAATTGAAATACAACTTTGAGCGTACAACAACTTTAAACATATTAGAAATCGCGCGCATTTAATTTCGATGCTCAACCGGTTGGATCAATATATTTCGCAAAACGGATTCTCAGATGTTTACACTTGCACATATCAATTTTTTTGCATTCATTTTTACGAGTAAAGATCTTTTATCATTGTTAAACAAATGGATAATGTATATACTTACATATACCCGTGTTTTTCGACGCCCTACCGCGATGCAAAAGCAACTCCTAGAAAAGATCAATGTAACTTCATCGCTGTATTCGTCACCATGGTGAACAAGAAGAAACTTTACTGACGACGAATTTTGTATAATAAACAACTAAAAGATACTGAAATTAGTATGCTAATAAAATAAAGACAAACACTATGTTCCAACCGGTTCCAACCAGGGGGAAATTTATTTTTTGTAATATTAATTCGAATATAACCGATCATATGATATTTAAATGTAGGTACATATAAAAGGCATATTTTGTTTTTCAAATTTGATAAAAAAAACAATAATTAGGCTGTTACGATTATCAACAAGTTGATACAACTTTCGGAATCTTTGGCAATATACACATGTATGTATGTATATCGAAGTATTTATATATTTCAACATGTACTTTCATCGATCAAACGAACTTATCGAACAAAGTACATTATATTATAATCATGTCATTCTTATTTTATATTGTTATGTTTAATTGTGATTAGTCATGTGTCAATATAAAACATAAAAAATGGCGGCTTTCGTAAAAGCAATGACATACTATGGGATTTTAAGACCAATTTCGAAAAGATACATTAGTTCTAATGTATCAACAATTGTAACAAGACATGCATCAACAGTTACGCAAAACGATGAAAATTACGATATCATTATAACCGGCGGTGGCATGGTTGGAACTACACTTGCATGTGCAATAGGTTAACTTTACTTTCTTTAAAGCTTACAGTACTGCTTATCGATTGTTATAAATAATTCTTTACATTTTTTAATAGCTACCAACAGAAGACTTGAAAATAAGAGCATCCTTTTACTGGAAGGTGGTAAACAACGCGTTTATAAACCACAGGAACAATATTCTAATCGTGTTGTTGCTTTAAATCAACAGACACGTACATTGCTTTCAAGTATTGGAGCTTGGCAGCATATAGAAGCAATAAGATGTTGTGCTGTACGAAAGATGCAGGTACTATGAAAGTTTAAAATAAAAACCAATGTGAAATATTTACAAAAACTTTAATCTTATAAATGCTCCGATTAAAGTATAAAATATTTAGTAGGTTTGGGATGCCTGTTCCGATGCTATGGTTGAATTCAATGAAGATCATTTATCAGAAGAAATTGCTTATATAGTTGAAAATGATTTATTACTACACGCTGTAAACACCCAATTGATGGATAAGGATGCTGTAAGCGTAGTATATGATTCTAAAGTTGAAAATATTAAATTACCAAAACTGGAAGGAGAAGATGCAGAAATACAGTTACAAAATGGAAAAAAGTACAGGACTAAATTATTGGTAAGTAAATGAAAAATATAATAGTATTAAGTATCGAGTATGTTACTCATTTACTATAATCCGTAACAATACTTTCTATTTTATTAGTTAAATTATCTAAACGTGCACCAATATTATATGAATATCTCTTTAATTCGATAGCTAATTCAGTCAGTTGCTGTTGATTGTTATCATTTGTGGAAGTAGTACTATAAAGTCTACTTAATCTGGAATTCCTGGCTTCAGTATTATTTGTACTGTATCTAGATGGATTTTTCATTGGTGTATTACGGTTCTTTTTTTCACTAACTAGGCGATAAATAGCTTTTATTAATTCTCGCGGTAAACGGTTTTCACGGGGGTCATTAGGTCGAATATGAATTGCACAATGATGTGGTGGACGTAAGAGAAGCGCTCCCTGTCTACATGTTTTCATTATTTTATTTGGAGCACGATCTAGAAGCTTAGAAAACAGCATACTTTCTAAGTGTGCCACTAATTCTGCTCTGCGTACTAATCTATCTAATCCCGCGCATCTTCGTAATTCTTGTATATCTGATACAGCAAGGCCCATCATTAGATTTGTTAAAATTACTGTTACTAAGATGACAAAACATAGAAGCATTAAATGAGCTGTACCAGAATATAATACTGGTGCATCATTATCAAAAAATACATCTTCAAATTCTAATTCTCCAGACAACATTACAATAGTTTTCAATAGACCGACCAAAGGATTAGTAAATGACTTATAATTCTTATGTAATACACTGAACCCTAAAGAAAAACCTATTATAAGGCATATGTAAGCACCAAGAAATTTGAAAAAGTTAATGGACACTTGAGTAAACATTTGTATGTAAAGACCGAACATTGGAAATCTTCCAACTACCATCATTAATTCTATCCAAATTAGCAGAATGCCTAAAGCAGCTACGTGATGTTGCCAGTCCCGAGTTGGCATAATTAATACTATACTTGATACTAAAACAACGCTCCATTGAAGCCAATTTTCCCATCTTTTAGTATAAATCCATACACCATGAGCCATTTGAAAAACTTCTTTGCTCGCGAGTGCTACGGTAAATATCAGTACCGGCCAAAAAAATATTTGTTTAAGCTCCTCAACATTCCAAAAGTATGTTACCGCGATATAAGCTGTAAAAAATCCAACAAAGATGGAATGAAATATTAAACTTATTAAAAAAAATTTACGAATCTTTAACCATTTCAAATAAAGAAAACTTTCGCATAAAGGGTGTTTCAATACATGTCTTTGCCCGACTTCTACGAGGCACAGCAATAAATCTGTTTCCCCTCTGCCACCTGGCACCAATGGTCGAAAATCTAATCTCAATTCGCAATCAACATCGCCCAATTCGTGATCGTGTAAAGAAATTGCTTGATCCAAACGTGAAATAAATCGCGGCAATACATCCGGTGTTCTGCGTACAATGAAACTTAATGCAGATATACCACCCTTTGTCCTAGCAGTAACATCTGCTCCATTTGATAATAACATCATCACTGTTGATGAACTTTCGTTCAGTGCCGCAATATGCAAGGGCGTATAGCCGAATTTGTCTGCTTTATTGATCAAAGCACCAGCCTTTTAAAATAAAATGAAGTATATAGTTTTTAATTGTTAAATATTTTCCACGTAATCTTGGTAATCAGTAAATAAACCTGTATCAACATCTTGACAAGTTCTATTCCTCTAGTAGCTTTCGCAACCGCAGCGTGCAATGGAATACGACCATCGTTATCTTCTACGTTGACTTTAGCACCGGATTTTATAAGTACATCTACAGTTTCTGCAGACTGGGACAAGGCTGCCATGTGCAGCGGCGATTGACCTCTGAAATTTTTTGACTCGCACGCGGCACCGGCATCTAATAGTAATTTTGTGCATTCCGAGCTACCTTCCTCTGCTGCTAAATGTAATGGAGTCGATCTAGTAGAACCAAACTGTACTCTCACGTCCGCGCCATAGTTCAATAACAATTTTGTGCATGTAACAGAACCTAAACTAGCTGCTACATGCAGTGGCGTTTCTGTATAAACCTGTTTTGTCATTGTTTATTGAGATATCGATGAAAAGTTATACTGCAATTATAATGAATTGTAAACAAATACCTGTGGATTGTTAGGAGAGGCACCTGCTTCTAATAAAGCTTCAACACAATCTGTTGCATTACTTAGAACAGCATAATAAAGAGGACTTTTTCCGGGTAGTCCAGCGTTTACATCTGCTTTTGATTTTATTAAGCACTTAACGCAAGCGATGTTTCCGATAGCTGCAGCACAATGTAAAGGTGTACATTTTTTATTGAAGTCCCACTCGTGTGGATTTGCACCATGCTTTAATAACTCTTCTACAATTTTAACCGAAGCTGCGCAAGCGGCTAAATGTAATGGTGTCCTATAAAATAGATGCATAATTGTCCTGAAATCTTTTTGTTATTTAGTTTCATACCTGCCGTCGCTATCTCTTGTTGTAACTGTTGCATTCTTATTTAATAAAACCTTTACCACTTCAACATGACCTACGTAACAAGAAACCAAGAGACAAGTGTTTGGCCATCTCTTAAAAAGTTGAGGAATAGTTGCATTTGCTGCTGCTTCATTTTCAATAGTTAATGCATTTTGAATACATTCATCATTGTACCCATTTGCAAACGAAGATGTAGAAAGTTTCCTAACATTTAATTTCACTTCATTGCATTCATTATCTAAAAATTCATTTAGAGCTTTATGCAAAGTATCACCATGAAGGGTAGGAATAACAGAGAGAGCATGTTCCCCTGCTGGAAGATTAGATAGAGCCGAAACGATCTCGTCTTTAGTCCAAGGTTGTAGATTTGTTATTTGTCTTTCTCTTATATGATAGGCAATAGAATCAGAGCTGTTCTCAGAACTTATACTACTTGCATCCATGTCAGTCATCCAAATATGCTCAGAATCTTCCTGAAAGTTCTTATACTCAACAAATTACATTCAAATTATTTTTTCATACTTACTATATCATTAATAACGATGGATGGCGTTCCCATTATATGTTCGGCATTTAATTTATCTTGAGAAATGCTATTACTTAGAAATCTGTGTAGAAGAGTTTTCTTCTTTAGAATTGACATTCTATCTTATTTACGTTGCATATAGTGCACCATCTGCCTTAAATTTCAAGTACTTAAAAACTATTTCAGTTGCCTGTATGATTTAGAGCAAGAACACGCGTGTTCCTTGGTGTTTATAAAACACAACTGGCATATATTTAGCTTCCACTACTTGGTGGAAGTGTACAGTAAGAGGGGGTTTCCTGTTACAAAATTTTTTCCTTGCAAAATATTTCATTTCCTGTTAACACTAATATGTAACATTTGTATATACTTTGTGAAATTACTTCCAGGATACATTCTTTTTCATGTAACTGATAACAACATCCTTTGAGGAAATAATTGTACTTGCGTGTTATTTTATTTTTTTTATATCATTAATATACTTAAAGATCAAGAATCAATTGTTAAGATGATTTAAATAATATTTGCACAGTCTTTTAAATTATAAATGTATTCACAAATAATTCTTTACTTAAATGCAAAAACATGTAGCTACCACGAGTATCACATTATGAAATTTAAATATTTATAATACGCGATTTCAAACGTAAACAAATATTTTGACAGTGCCAAGTATAAGGCAGCTTAAAAGCACATTCAGTACTCCCATTGAAGCGTGGCACAGGACTGAAGTTATTTTCAGACACACTGCTATTCTCTCTTAATTCTTCCCCTTCCTACTACAAAGTATTACCATTACTATTCTAGAATATTGCGATTGTTTATTTATTTTCTCTTATATAGAAATACAAGAAACTTTATCTGCATGTATGTTTATTATAGATTGGAGCAGATGGTTCAAATTCATTGGTAAGACAATCTATGGGTGTTCAATATGTGAAATGGGATTACAATCAATTGGGTGTAGTTGCTACTCTTAAATTATCAGAGGTAAAGATTGTATTATTGTGAAAATATTACATCTTTTGTAGCTGTATTAATTACAGTTTTTTTTTTCAGCCTACAGACAACATTGTTGCATGGCAAAGATTTCTACCAACAGGTCCAATAGCATTACTTCCAGTAATTGTTATATTTTTACAAATTAATTAAAATTAACTAAATAAATATTATACTGATTCTTATTTCATTGTAGTTAACAGATTCTCTTAGTTCACTTGTATGGTCCTTACCAACAGATGAAGCAAAGAGACTTTTAAAAGTTTCAGAAGAAGAATTTGTTGATAATGTAAACGATGCTTTATGGAAAATTTATCCAAAAGATGGTATTGTTGAAAGTGGTATGCGAGCACTTCAACAGTTACTCGAAGGTTTATCCTTACAAACCGGCGTAGTGAGACAGCTACAACCATCGATATCCGCAATTACAGAGGGATCACGTGCTGCCTTTCCTTTACAATTCGGTCATTCGGTGTCTTATGTTCAACCAGGAACTGTTTTAGTGGGGTAAGCAGAGAAACAACGTAATGAATATTGAAAATTACAAGCTCTTTATTAATGTAACATTTACAATATATGTAATGTGGATCTTCAGGGATGCAGCGCATAGAATCCATCCATTAGCTGGTCAAGGTGTAAATTTAGGTTTTGGAGATGTGACAGTATTAGTCCAACTACTTGCAGAAGCTGTTATGAATGGAGCAGTTTTGGGTGACATGATGTATTTAAGGAAATACGAAACTTGTAGACAACGATATAATGTTCCAACAATGCTTGCTATTGACGCGTTACATCGGTTGTACAAAGGAACAGCGGCTCCTATTGTTTTAGTTCGAAGTTTAGGATTACAATTGACGAATGCCATTCCGATGATAAAGGTAAAACATAAAATAATAGAAAGTACAAAAGGAGTTAATATTCATCACATCGTATTAATTGAAATGACGTGATTTATTTCAGAGAACTTTGATAGAACATGCATCTGGTACAACAGTTAATCGATGATATTATTACAATTCACATCAAAATATTTATGTGTGTAATAATACAATATAGTTATTATTTTTGTAATAAAAATTTCGATAATGATTATTTGTGACGTAACCCCGAATGTAAATGTAAATATGATTTTGTGATACTCTGTTTACATAGTTGTAGACTAAAATAGGTTATGATACTTAACATAATAAATGAAAATAAATATATATATATATATTATTGTTAATTCTTAAGGCATTGTATTTTTAATTCGAAGTAATTGTAGAACTTGAATTAAGGAATTTCATTCATGAAATTTGATATTTTGTACAAGTTTTAACATTTTAACAAAAGACAACACATTTAATAATTTGCATGAAATATTAAATACGCTCATTGTTTAATATATTTTATACAATGATAATATGAAGAGATTTTCGACTATAAGGTGATAGATGTTTATGCAAATTTTCCGCTATTCCACGTGAGTAAAGGTTAATCACGTTCACGTGTGAATGGAAACAGGTTATGATGTCACTTTTCCAAAAAAAACAAATATGTAAGGAAATATTTGCTGAAATTAAGTGGATATTTTTGCAGCAAAAATAAAAAGATTAAAACATCGTATCAAGTACTATTTCGTAATACAGCTTTTCTAAAACGTTCTCCATGTGTAAATAGTTTAGGTTATTACATGGTCATCAAATTTGTAAGCAATTTTTGATTTACAAAATGAATATATATTACATAACTTTCTGTCCTTAATATAATATAAATCGTGTAAGAAAGATTTCTCAAAGCAAGCAGAACTTCAACTATTTTGTATGTAAAAGTAAGTTTATGTAATGACAGGTTATCTTTGTATGGGAATTAGATAATTATTGAAACGTTTTGTATGGCTAATGGCATAAGTTTTATTATTTGAATTTTTTTCAGTCACAATGTTTATGTCCAAGAGATTTTTAAAAACAACTGCACTTGGAGTAATTGGATTAGGCACTTTGGCATCTCTGAGAGCAAATGAATACGATTTGGGATCTATAGGTATTGTACGACTAGGACGTGCTGCACTTACTGTTTTTATAATAGGCAGACATTATCAAAGTGAATTATATTCAACTAAATTAGACAGAAATAGTCCAGAATATCGAGATTTAAAATCAAAAACTCACAAGTACGGAGCAGAAAAACTTTTAGAGCTCTGCTGTGCCAATAAAGGTGTCTATATAAAAGTTGGTCAACATATTGGTGCTTTAGATTATCTATTACCACCTGAATATGTTAATACTATGCGAGTATTGCATAGTTCTGCACCCCAATCATCTTTTAAAGATGTACTTACAGTAATTAAAGAAGACTTCAAGAAAGATCCATACGACATATTTGAGAGTATTGACCCTAAACCTTTAGGCACTGCCAGTTTAGCACAAGTTCATAGAGCTGTATTAAAAGATGGTAATGTTGTTGCCATTAAAATTCAACATCGTGCAGTCAAAACAAATTCTTATGTGGATATAAAGACTATGGCAGCTTTAGTAAAAATGACATCATTAGTCTTTCCTGACTTTAAATTTGATTGGCTTGTTGATGAAACCAAGAAGAACATTCCTAGAGAATTGGACTTTACACAAGAAGGGAAAAATGCTGAAAAAATTCAAAGCATATTTTCACATTATCATTGGTTGAAAATACCTAAAATATATTGGGATCTTTCATCGCGTCGTGTTCTGACAATGGAATTTGTAGAAGGTGGACAAGTGAATGATTTGAAATATATTCAAAACAATAATTTAAATCCTTATGAAGTCAGCAGCAAATTGGGTCGACTTTATAGTCATATGATATTTATCGTGGGTTTTGTACACTCTGATCCACACCCTGGTAATGTTTTAGTCAGAAAAAAAGATAATGAAGCAGAAATAATACTTTTGGATCATGGATTGTATGCAAACCTTTCTAACGAGTTTCGAGTGGAATACTCTAAACTTTGGTTGGCTATATTAGATGGAGATAAGGTTGCAATGCAGTTGCATTGTGCAAAATTAGGTGTACCAGACTTATATGGTCTACTAGCTTGTATGGTATCAGGCAGATCTTGGAATACAATTATGTCTGGTGTACAAAAAACCCAATACGATTCGCAAGAGAAAGAAGAATTTCAAAAGGAAATACCAAATTTATTACCACAAATTAGCGATGTACTAGAAAGAGTAAATAGACAAATGTTATTGATTCTTAAAACAAACGACCTTATACGCTGCATCGAATATTCTTTGAATACAGAATCTAGAAAGTCAGGAATGATGGAAATGTCAAAATGTTGTATAAATTCTGTGTACGACGAGAAATTAAAATCATGTTCAAATACATGGTCAAGATGGAAACTTTCCATGTCTAAACAATGGATACTTTTCAAATTATCACTATATTATGTATATTTAGGAGCACTAAGTTTTGACATAAAAAACTCGATAGAATCGCTTATGAAAAATGAATTTTATGCTTTTTAACAAAAGGTTTTCTTAGGTAAAATATATTTTTATGTAAATTAAATATGTAACTAATTGAACACTATAATTAAATATTTTTTTGGGGATACACATTAACCTTATTCATTGAAAAAAATAATTTTGTGAAATTTGTAATTGTTGTTGTTGTAAGAAAATGTATTTTTTATTTATTTTCATGCATTAAATAGAAAAGATACAAAGCAATTATTTCTATGTAAAATTGAATTGTATCTCTACAAAATAAGTACAAATATTTATTGTTCTTTGTTGTTTGTACAAATCCATTGTGCCAGTGAAATAGTCAAAGTGACATTCGAATGTTTTCTATAAATATGTAAATACATGGGTATGTTGCTGGTACCCCTTTTGTATTTTTACTTTATTGTTCTTTTCGTTATACATAAATAACATCTGGATTTTGTTGTTATTTCATTACATGAACAGGGAATATGTATTATTTTAGTATCGACTAAAATTGTTAGTTATATTTATCAAGAAAATTATATATACATTAAATACGTTCGAAAATAAATCATATGTTTATTGTATTGTCTTTTGCACAGTGTATTATATGTCCTGAATATTTACTAATTTCTAACGTTAATAAAGTGACGTATGTAATTTGCTTATATTCTAACCCTAATGTGTATTTACTATGCGAATATTCAAACAAAAAAATACAATATTCGCAGAAAGGAAAGCGTCTCTCGTATGTATGTATACGTTGGGTACAGTTGAGTATATATCACAGTTATTCGTGACAGCGTTGCCACGTTTCATGATTTCCACGTAAAATATATTTACATTTTATTCATATAAGAAAATTATATCCGTAGTTATATTACATATAACCACTCTCTTTTAATATTTACATCTAAAGAAAGATCAAGTCTTTACAAATCGTCAAATTCTACTCATACACGCACCAAACGTAATTTTCTTTGTATTTTCGGAACTTTACCGAACATTTACATTGCATTTTACAGCAAACTACGGCAAGGATATTACTCGGTGCTTATTGTAAAGTGCTTTATTGTAAAGGGAACTCATTTTATTATATAATTAATAAATATTACAATAACGTTGGTCCAACGTTTGCTTAACGTTGCATCGAAATCTTCGGACAAATGCTAAACGTGTATAGGCATAATCCATTCATCTTTTCTTGAAAACGAGACAATGCGTAACATAAAATATCGAGAAAGAATTTCTGAATTCAGGGAAATGCGATATAAATAACAAAGCTACGTTATTGATCGAAGTGACGCCGAGAGAATTGGCAACGCCGCCAAGTATCTGCAACGGCGAAACGTATGACGCTACCCGGGAAGGCACGCAATTGATGGTCGACCGCACAACGCATTCCTACGCCGAAAATTATTTTCTAGAATCGAAGTGTTTCAACAAATTCATAAATTAATCGAGAGATTTAACTTCGGAATGGTTAAATACAGGTGAAAGATTCGGTTGAGTGAATATTTTCTGGAAAATTTCGTAGAAAGAACGTCGTTGAAAGAATTTTGTAGGGGACTATTTTCTATTGATCGCGCGTAAGGATACCAGTTAGTGGCGAGCTTGGGGGTATATAAGGTCCCCCCAACTGGCGCAGCCCTGGCATTTCCTGAGTCATCTTCAAGTGGTCGAGGCTGTATCTTGCTCGCTAGCTCGAAGTTTTTTCTCTTTTGGAATCGCCGGTATATTCTTCCGTCGTTCGAGAAGAAACACGAGCCAGATGCAGGTTGGTGTCTCCCTTACTTATTCAACATTTAGGTGAAAAAGTTTTACGAATTGACGAGAGATCCGTGACTAGTAACAGTTTCGTATTAGTATATTGTCTTGCGAAAAATCACGAGTTCGAACGGTTTGTAAACGCTGTGTCAACGTTGGCGAGAAGAATATTGGACGTACCTACGACGTTCGCAAGTTGAAGAAAGGTAACTACGTCATCATGGTGGCTACATCAAGACCACGGGAGATCGATATCGACAAACCAAGTCACACCGAACAATTGGCGAATTGGATCAGTAGAGTTCGTTGCAAGAAGCTGATGTGTCGGCGTAATCGGAAGCGTGATTTGCGCGTCGAGGCGGTGCTGACTTCCGCTCTTTACAAGGCCGAGCACGAATTGCGCACCAAACAACTAACCAGGATCTCCAAGTGGCAGCAATTAAAGAAGCAATTCCTGAGAGAGGCTGGCTATTCAAGTTGCGATTTGTATAACTGCGAGGGCATCGGAGAGTTCCATTCTTATCAAGAGAATCCATGGCAGAGCCCTCTTTGTCCGGAATTGAGCAGCCTGGACAAGTTCATGTCTAAATTGGGAGAGATCAAAGAACCGCTGCAGCGATGAAGAGACACGAAGAAAACTGACGACCAGGTCTGAAAAACCTTGGGAATGCATCTGAGATCCAGCTCGTGAAGATTTCCGGCAGCTTCGTGAACGAGCAACTCGAAACGTTGAGTTGAACGGCAGCCAAGTGGAGAGTCGCAATACCATTAGGCAGTACCACCGTATCACGTTGGTGCTGCTGGACTAGAAGTTACATCACTATCCTGGTGTAAATCTGGGTGTTTTTTACTTGCAGTCTCACCATTTGAGATGGCAATGGGACGGGCGGAGGGAGTTGCTGTTTGCAGCGATGCTGGGTGTACCGCAGGGGAACAGGGATTCCATGTTCTAGTCTCTACGCCATTCATCGGTTTGGTTTGTAAACTGTATCGGAACAAATGTATTCTCTTTGCAATTTTTTTTCGTAATGTTTACCAATGAAGGAAGTACAAAGCTTGTAAAGAATGTGTTCGAAGAGCATTTGATCTAGGATATTTTTACTTTTTTCAGAAACATTGCAGTTTCATTGATATATACGTAAAATGTGTATTTGTATAAAAGCGTATGATTCTAAACGAATTTCTATAGTTAATTAGATAATTCGTAGATTTAACGACCAGTAATGTTTGTGCTTAAGTTATTTCAAAGAATGGAAAGAGACTTTTTTTGTGCGTAGACTCTGTGTATTATGGAGAAAGCGTTAATCTAACAATTCTTTTGTAAATATTGTGATACAGCAGAAGAGGAGCAGAATTGAAAGAATAAATGTTAAAAAGAAAAGTTGACAATTTATTCTGTATAATCTCTCGATTCACCATTATTAATACCAAAAATCCGTTTCAGTATGGCATACACCTTACAAAATTCTATCGCACGCAAGAGACCCGCACACATGTCGTCCAGGCTGTTGCTCGTCATCGGCGACGTCATTGGCCTGTCTATAAAACCATAAGAGTCAAATGAGAGGAGTGGTGAGAGAGGATTATTAGTATGGGATGAGGAAAGGGGCAAAGTGTTTGTTTCTAGAAATTCGCGCATGAAGCGTTGCGGCTGAGTTGCACGGCGATCAAGTCACACATAAACACCTTCCGTTCGCACTTCTGTATCTCGACCACGCATCGACTAGTCCCAAAATCATCTGGGGCGTGATAGACAGACTCACTTCGAGCAAAACGGCAGGAAACTTGAGCCCTGTTTGGTGAGCTACTCCCTTTTGTCCGTTACCTGTGCAAACGTGTTTTCTCAGGTCCAGAAACGTTTTCCCCGATGCTTGCACCATCAAGTTGTACATGTCTCACTCCGCTTATTGACGTACAACGCCAAGTCAACTTAAGCTGGCCGCCCAAAGAACTGCATATTGTCCCATTTCAATTAGGATAATAGCCCCGAGGTATGGAGAGAGTAATTCATTGCATGTCTGTCCGAATTGAGACGACCGAGAAAGGCCAGATATAACGTATCGCAAGTAGTACATCTAATTTTTAATACGAGCATGCGAATATAAAAAGGCTCAAAACCAAGTAGGAGAACGCTACAATTTTTATAACTGCTACGCTGGTTGTATTTTTTTGGGCCGCTGTGGCATTGGATAACTATTTCCACAGATTTGAGGTTCCTGAATTACTCCTCGGGTGCTAGAACAAGAAGATTTGTGTAATATATGTTCTAGATCAATGTGTAAGATAACGCTTCTTGACGAGAGGTATGGAGAAGAGTTATACGAGCAAGAATAGAGGTATTGGTTCACGTTACAGTTAAATTAATGCAAGAAACGATGAACATATTCGGAATGTTTTTGGTTAAGTTTGGGGATCTGGGGGGGGCCAATTTGAGAAAATTTTGTTTACCGCAGAAAATCATTGTACAAAATGGCTGTTTGGAGAGTTGCCTTTCACGTTTGATAATAGGAATGCCGGTGGCATGTGGCAGATATTGGCAGATACTTGAAACTTTTCACGATCAGTTCTAACACGTAAACGATGTATTTGATATTTTCACGGAACGGAACGATGCAGTATTATTTTGAAACGCAAGGAAGAAGTATACGTGTCAAGAATGAGTCAGACATCTTGGAATTCACGCAAAAGTTTATAATTGTACAATTATCATTCAGTAAGCTAATGGTTTGAATACGGATGGCTTAAACGAGTTTTGCTCTTACGTGTTTGGAGTGTGGTATCAAATATTTACGATTTTATGCATATCGTTTTAAATGTTTTCTTGGGGGAGATTCTGTCCGGATGCCTTTGTTTTGTACTGCAGGAGTACCTGAAAGAAACTCTTATCAGTATCTTCGATGTGCAACTGTAAGCAAACAACTACAGGCTGTCATTTCCATTGCTGGAACGTGTCGCGTTCGTGTTACAAAGGTACCACCATAGTGTATGTTTAAGTAGAAAGATTTTGGGAGGTGGGGGCAGAAGGGGGCGGCGGTAAACATTATGTTTCAGCTAGACTGGCTAAAGAACGCGTGTTATCAACTTTATGCGCACTTCATAATCTTTAAATATGCACTTTATTATTGTAACTGGGCCCTGACACAATCATGCTGAACATATTTTACGGTGAGGCACATGTGACATTACGAAAATTGCATTTTTAAAGAGATACAGGCATCGTGGAAGAAGGTAACAGTTTCATGATGAACAATTCACGTTGTAAATATTAGACGTATATGGGGAAATGCAAGGGATGGGATGCGCAATCTTGTTATTGTGAGCTGCAGGACTGATGCCGTACGTATCTCTCTTATCGCAATGGACAAAATCAATTCGGACGGGATTACTTGATAGTGGAAGAAGCCATTCATTTTTTGTATTTATGGTGCCAATGTAAGTCCTTCGATTTTCAATACATTCGGTTCTTTAGAAATATTCGAGGCGATACGGAGACGCTCGTTTAACGACGAAAGAAGAGGTTGAGAGAAGAGCATGTTATATATTGATTTATTTTGAATTAAATTGCTGTAATAGTGCTATCTTCGATAAGGTATTTTAGATGAACCAGGTGATGCACTCTAACATATATTTTCTTAGTGTATATTGATAGTTTGGATTCATTTGTTCTATTACGACGATTTCTGGCAAATTTTCATACGACTAATTATATTTGTGAGAAATGTTTGATGGGATGGGTGGGGGGCTTATAAAACAATGTTACCTTTTTTCCCACAGAGTGTTTAGCAGATGGCCGTTTGTTTGAAGTTGTTTGGTTGCAAACTCAACTGAAGCATGGTAGCAGAGCACGCTAGCGTTAAAGCCTTGAATATATATATACATGCATATAGTATTCAATCACCAAGTTAGGATCGTTTCAATCTTTGAACGACAGATGTTCTTCGGGTATACCTGTCGGGTATACCTACTAGGTCGTTACTTCGGAATATGCAAGAAAATATCGCACCAGAAGTATATGAGTTATATATTCAGCCGTTGCTCCACGGGAAGACAGTGCTGTGAAATACATCTATACATGTATGTATTGCTTAGATGAACAGTATTTTTATCACGATGTTAGGAAAGGGACGTATACGATTAGCAGAATTTTCAAAGCCTTTGAAAATATTGAAAACAATGTTTACGAAAAGTACATTTGTGTGGATGAGTTTTATTATGCTTGAAGTATGAATATGCAACAGATCACTACGAAATGTTAGTTTTTGCTTTAAATGGAAAGTAACGCATTGACGAAAGCAAGAAAATCAACAACGCTGCGCTCCTATCAGGTAACAGTTTCAAATCATAATCTTCGCTCAAATTTATTGTTTAGTCGGAAAAAGATGTAATTTTTACGATCCTACTATGATTTTAAATTGATCAAATTTTAAGAAAGAGGTATAACTTTTACAGATTCACTATTCATTTAGAATCTTTCATCTTATCGATACGAATATGTTCTAAAAGAAAATTTGTGATTCGTGTTAATGTGACAAAGTTCATGTTCTGTTCAAAAACGTATGTGGATATTTAATCGACTCGAAAGGAATTTATATAAGTTATATTACGCAAGGACCCTGGAACAAATGACTACTTAAATTTTTTGTCAACTGTAGCAGTATTTCTCTGAGACTGTAGTTGTGCGAGCAAGTTCTGGTTATAATTTCGTTTTCAAGTTCAGTTATATAGTGTAATAAGTGCACAAGAAATCCTACGATAGTATTGCAGTGTATCTTCGCTATCTGCTAATGCGCTTTTATATTGAGTTCATGTGATTATGTGAAATTCGAGAACACATTTATGGAGAATGCAGCAGCTCAAGCTTTATGGTGACTAAAGCATAAAATGATCTAATGATGCTTGGCATAAAAATCTACGAGTATTGGATATAATATTTGAGTATGTTAGGAAATGGCTTTTAATTGTAGTAAGACTTTTGGTGAGTGAATAATCGTTCAATGTATATTTTTTCTAAAACAATGGACAATCGTTTAGAGTTTGTGATTAGAATAATTTGTGCCATTAGTTCGAAATTTACGGTAATGCTCTGAGTGCTGTGTATTATGCTTGATGGCTTTTGTTTATCCAAATACTTCGAATGTTCTGTAAGTTCTGTTTGTGCAGTTCATTTTGTACAACTATAGAATTGTGTATAATTTCAAATAAATGGAATAGTGGGGATGGGTCGGGGGGTAGGGGTATACTAATCCTATGCAAATTAGCTACATTCCAGCAAACAGTATTCAGCATCGTAAAAACAGAATTTCAAAGAAAAAGATAAGGAAATGAGTCTGACTGGACAGGAGGCAATTTGCAAAGTTAATTTTTCTTGCGTTTCGTATGACTCTTATCAAATGACATTTAATATTGCAAGCAACGGTTAAGGTGAATTGAATAATTCAAGGAAGCTGTACACAAATTCAAAGATTCATTTAAGGAACGTAACAGTTCGAGGGATTGATTGTCCTGTTTCCAAGTATTTTAAGGTCTACCGAATTGTATTGCAAGGTTTTTCGTGTTTCCCTTCCGAAAAAGCTAACCAAGTGTTTTAGAGAACCGGTTTTGAGTATGAGTGCGTGCAGATAAGGAAGGCGAGTACACGTCTAGAAGTTACGGAATGATGCTCGATTATTTGAAGTACAAAATACACGTCAGAGGTCTTCCAATCTCCAACTATCTGCGTATGGGGTTTGGTCTGTTGGCTTGTCTCTGCGATTCTATCTATTGTTGGATAACTCGAGCACAGTTTGGAATGGATTTCCCAAATGCACGGCTTTTTCCTGTCTTTTGGTGGCGAGGAATAGGCGACATATTATCCTGTTTAAAACAAAGGAACGACTTCGAGGCTGATTTCGCCCTACGTAATTTTGGAGTCGAGTTGGAGTTCGAGCAGCTGGATCGTTTGTTGCGTTATTCGATGGGATCATGAGTAATCGTTGCGTGTCGAATTCGAGTGATGAACGGCCATGGGTTTTCTCTCTTGGGGTTTTCAACAGGCTACGATACTTCACGGTATGACGCGGCAAGGCCATCGTTGCAGAGTTCCAGCAGAAACGCCTTCTTTCCTTTTATTTACAAAGTATGTACCTCGTGCCGCGCGTGGTCTTCACAATCCGTGTGAACAATCAAACTAACAAACTCGTTTTCATTTTCAGATTTAATTGCTAGATATTACGATTCCAGTATGTTATTTAATTCGTTGACTATTAACTAGCAATGAATTCTTAGAAATTATGGTCATTTGTTTCGGATCGTAAAACAGAATGCTAATAATTTATGCGATACGCATAAATACTTCATGAAAGGTGTCGAATTTTTAGCATTGAAGAAAAAAAGTAAGAAGTTTTCGTGTTTCAAAAGCGATTTTACGGAACATTTTTGTCTTACAAAGAGAAGACATTTTTTAATGGAATATTACGAAGTATGGAAAATATAGTGCACAACTGAATTTATAACAAAACTTCGTCCAAGTATTGAGAAAAATACGGAAAACTTCCTAGTAGAGGAGCGAAATCTATATTAATATAGACTTACATGGTTTACAAAAGATAATACGCTACGCGTAAAGGTATGGGTAATTCAGAATGTTGTTTGTGGAACGTCAAAGAAGAGTTATAAAAAAAAAAAAAAGGAATTACCTGGTAATATTATGGGAAAAGTTTAATACAAGTACCAGAACGATAACGAAACATCAAAGAAGAATCAAACATAAAAAATGATATCGTCGCGGGACTTCGTGGGATTCAGAAGAAGAGGGTATCAACGCGGGACTTCGTGGGATGTTGAAGAGTGTATCGACGCGGGACTTGATGGGATGCTGAAGAAGAGGACACCATTGCGGGTCGACGTGGGATGCTGAAGAAACCAAAGGTATCGCTACGGGGACTTGGATGCGGAAGAAGAGGATTTCAACGTGGAGGGACTTCGTGGAATCCAGAAGAAGCTGAAATGTCAGTACCGGAACTTTCGCGGATGCAGATGAAGAGGATATCAACGTGGGACTTCGTGGGATCCACAAGGGAGAATATGAAAATTAGAACCACTGATGCAGAAGAAGATGTTACGTCGACGTGGGACTTCGCGGGATTCATAGAAGAGGATACCGGCGTGGGACTTCGCGGGATTCATAGAAGAGGATACCGGCGTGGGACTTCGCGGGATACAGAGAAGAGGATATCAACGTGGGGCTTCGCTAGTCTGAGATGAAGAATATTAACAGCAGGACTTCACGAGGCAGACATGATAAGAATACTCCGAGGTTATCTAATATTGATACTAAGTAAAAAAAGGTCTATCATTGGGGTTTTTACGAAAAATAATGAACATACAATTTCTTATTTAGAATAATTTAGTCGACATTTTTGTACGACAGAATCTTATCTCTAAAAGTTAGAATTTTATAAATGCAAAGTGTTATAGTATAAAACAAAATCACTGTATTCAAACAGTATGACATATTATAGTTTATTAGAAAATATTTAAAAGAATTTAGCGAATTGAGGTCATTGAAATCATTGTTAAATTAATATTTTTTTACTTACTAAGATTTGATAAAATTTATTTATTTCACTATTGAGTTTTTAATATTAAAAAAAAAAAATGAAAAAATATATAAATTAAAAGAGAAAGAAAAAAAGAAAATACAAAAGAAAAAAGATACTTATTAAAAAAAGATAATTTTACGAAACAAATAAGCAAATTTAAAAAAAAAGATAACTTTAAAAAAGAAAAAAAAACAGAAATAAAAAAAGGAAAACAGAAATTAAAAAAAAAGAAAAAAATTTAAAAAAGAAAACATTAAAAAAAAGTATTATGTTGTAATGTTTATAAAATATAATATTGTCGTTTCAGTTTTATACAAGAATTACGAATTACGTATCGTTTGAAAATTGAATGAAATGTTTATTAATTTGTTAATCGAATATTGTGAAACATGTTATAGGACAAAATAATTATGATAAAATGTTAAAAAATATTCGGCATAATGGGCCAAGTATGTTGGGTATTTAATTTTGACAGGTTTCAAGATTCATCAACCGACCATCGAAAAATAATTATACTACCATTGTTACTATCATTAAAAGACGACATCGAGTAATACGTCTATCATGATTACAAGAGGGGACTTCGTATGATGCTAACACCAGAATGTAAACAGGAGTAACAACAATAGACGACTTTGAGAAACATCAGTACCATGAGGCGACATCGAAGGACATCCGGGTCAGATGGTGCCAACGTGTGAGACACCGGGACCAGGAGACGACAACGTGGGACATCGGGACCAGGAGGCGACATCGAGGGACATCGCGGGACATCGCGGGACATCGGGACCAGGAGGCGACATCGAGGGACATCGCGGGACATCGTTACCAAGGGGCGACGTCGAGGGTCATCGGGACCAGGAGGCGACGTCGAGGGACATCGGGACCAGGAGACGATTTCGAAAAATACTAAGGCACAAGAAATGATTGAAGAAATACCAAGATGCGAACATGAATTTATATATACAATCATGCAGCAGAATGAATTATATTAATAAAGAATCAATTTTCAATGATTTAACCAAATTTTAATTTCAGCATGTATTATAAAATGTTCATTACACTTAATTTCTTTCAGAAACATTTTTAGACATGAAAATAAATTGTACTAATAAAAGAGTACAAATAATTTAATATGTATATACATGGAAATATAATGGTATTTCATTGACATAGTTCTCTGTACATGAAACGTATATATAATAAATGGAAAATAAACAATAAAGATGTGTTGTGTTACTTTATTCCCCGTAGTATTTAATTGAACAGCGTGAGTGCGAGAGAGAACGCAACGGTGTGCGACAAGGAT